CATATAATTTGTCGGCTGGTTTATCTTAAAGACTAACTTTTTGAAAGAAAAATCATATTAGCCAATGAATTATTAAATTTCAAACAGAATTCAATGAATCGTTATGGGAGAATAAGCTGTATCCTCGTAAAAACTGCTGGTATATTTTGAGAGATTGACTAATTTAGAAATAATCATCTGAAAATAAAAAAAACTATCGTTAGCATCGATTAGCCGAATTGTGAAAAATCATTTTATTACACGACATATATAATAAAAACCAAGAATTGAAAGAATAATTTCAACATTGATGAATGAACATTTATTTGCAATTTTTTATTATTGCAATGTTGACAAAGAAATTGACATAATACACAATATATAAGTGTAAATTACGTTACAATCTCTAGTTATCTTTCAATCTTATAATAAGAGATAAGATTTTTTTTATGATGATTAAGTTATTAAGATCAAGTGAAAAAAAACAATAAATTAATAAAAATAATCAAAAAAATTTCTACTAAAAATATATTTATATCAAAATATATTAAAACTAATTTATTATATTCAATTCAATTTATTCAATAGATTGAAGAATTGAAACAAAATAGAACCCTAATAAATACCTTAGAACACCCTAATTATGAAGATTCTGAATACTTTTCATTTCTTGTTCCCTATTATATGTACCTGACCATCATCAGTGAACCTTAGAAAAGGATCGTGATCGGTTTCGGCTTTTAAAGTGTCCAACCGACTTCCGTGCAAACATAGGGATGTTTCCATTCGGATATGTCTACCTGCGTTTTCAAAAGATCATTCGATACTGAGAGGTAAAGTCCTAACATCAGTGATTTATTTCATTCCACAAGCAGATCGAAATGATATTAACTATTAAACGTTATATAAGTTTCACTTTGAAATATATTCGAATTTTCTAACCATATACTAACTGGAACAAAGAATGAAAAAAAATTCTTAAATGCTAATACATTCGAAGTTATTAAGTTATAACTTTCTCAAAAATTTTTACATTTTTCTATCTATGAAATGGAACCGGAGTAAGATCCGAGAAGAAGAAAAGAAGATAGTATTATCTCTATCAACAATTTCAAATATTATTTGAAACAGTTTTTCATGAGAAAAATTATCTTTCTTATATTTATTATAGTATATTTCTTATATTTATAATTTATAATTCTTATATTCTGTTTTATATTAATAATTTTGTTATGTTTTTAAAAAACAAAACCATTTTTATAACCATTTAGATGGTGATAAAATGGCAAAAAAAATGAGCATAAAATTCTTACGTGCATCTAAGAATGAAAGATCCGGTTGAAAAACTATTATGATTTTCGTATCTTTTTTATGAGACACCGTATATAAACTGTCCTTCGAGAAGCTGAAGTGTCTATTGTTTCAACTCCGGCGAGAGAGCAATATAATATCTTTCGAGGAGCTGCCGTTGGGTTTCCAGATGCGGGCAGACGTTCCTCCAGGTCACGGCATGTATAGACCCGTATGTCAGCTTCAGCATCCACGATGGATCCATATGGGGAAAAATCTCATTATGTGCTTGACTTTCAATCTAATTAAAACTTTGTAATGTCTTTTTTCATCCACAATTTCAAAAATTGTTTCACAAAATTAACTCACGTCACAAACCACCGATGCACTACGAGTTTGAACGTAAAAAGAACTGCTTTATTCGATAATCAAAACTATCGAATGATCATATCTCGAATTGAATGTTGTAAATTTCATGCAATTGACTAGAAGTATACTTCACGATTATAGACTCTATTAAAAAAAAGTAACAAAAATTTATTTCAAAGAGGAAATTCTTTTTTTTTCTACCTTTTCTTGAAGAAAACATTTGGCGAAATAGAAATCATCTTGAGTTTGAACGTAAAAAGAACTGGTTCATTTGATTTGATCGAATCGAAAGTACAAAACTATCGAATGATTGTATCTCGAAGTATACTTCACGATTATAGACTCTATTAAAAAAAAGTAACAAAAATTTATTTCAAAGAGGAAATTCTTTTTTTTTCTACCTTTTCTTGCAGAAAACATATTTGGCGAAATAGAAATCATTTTGAGTTTGAACGTAAAAAGAACTGCTTCATTTGATTTGATCGAATCGAAAGTACGAAATTATCGAATGATTGTATCTCGAAGTATACTTCACGATTATAGACTCTATTAAAAAAAAGTAACAAAAATTTATTTCAAAGAGAAAATTCTTTTTTTTTCTACCTTTTCTTGAAGAAAACATATTTGGCGAAATAGAAATCATATTGAGTTTGAACGTAAAAAGAACTGCTTCATTTGATTTGATCGAATCGAAAGTACGAAACTATCGAATGATTGTATCTGGAATTCAGAACGTAATAAATATCGTGCAATTGACTAGAAGTATACTTCATTATAGACTCGATTATTTAAAAAAACTAACAAAAATTTATTTCAAAAAGGAAATTCTTCTTTTTTCTACCTTTTCTTGCAGAAAATATATTTGGCGAAATAGGAATCATCTTGTCTCTAAACCGATCAACAGTTTTCTTTGCCTCTCTTTTTCACGCGCATGCTTTCTTTCTTTTCGTCTCTTTTTCTCCTTCTTTCTTTCTATTCCTCACGCAATGTCAGAACATTCACAGAGCTTTGTCATCGTGGTGTCTTCTTGCCTTTGATATTTGTCGCGTCTTTGGTAGAGAGACGAAACAGTCGAGAGACAAACGAGGGAAGAAACATGGTAGGTCGCGGCGTTGCCATGCTGTACTCCCCGAGATCCGAGAAAGTGTACAAAAACCATTCGACCCACCAACACCGAGGGCATCGCGTTCCTTTTTTAAATTGCCAGGCTAGCCATCCCCTCGTATGCGTTTAACTTACACTGTGCCACACATTATTTCTCTCTCTTTCACTCTCTGTCTCTTCTCTCCCGCTCTTTTCTTTCGTTTCTGCATGTATACCAAATACTGTTCGACAGAAATATTACCTACACGCATTACCAGCAAAATATATTACACAGACATCGTATGAAAAATTAATCCAGACTCGACAGAAATGGTTTGTCAGAATTTAAAATATTATGATAAATATTCAATGAATTTGAAAATAACAGAATCAAAATATCAAATTGAAGTTAATATTTTACAATTAAATATAAATTAATAAAAATTTATTTAATTCGATAAGTTGGCAATAATGATCGATTAGACAATTTTATAAGTGACTAATTTCAAGGCATAAAACTAAGAGTTATATATGTATATATGTACACATGTATACATACTTATATCTGTATATATATATAATTTATATCGTTTTATATATGATACAAAAGTGTAAAAGATTATTCAAATATAAATTAACAAAATATATTTAATATTCTAACATGTTATAAATTTTGTAGCAATATATATAATTCTTATATATATTTCTGCGTTTTCGAAATAAATTTATTTATCAATTTTTAATTATACATAAAATTTGATTTGATTAAATACTTATTTGAAGAAAAAGATAATTAAAAAAGATTCTATAAACGGAAAGTACTTACATTGGTCGAAATGATAAAAGTAAAATTGAACGTGACGCAAGATATGATATGATTATCAAGTATAAGATATTTATGATTTGATATGAATCAATGCGAAAGAACTAATCTTCAAAATGTTTTTATAAATATCGAATTTTATTGCAAAAAAATATCGTTTGAAACATCAATTATATTTAAGACAATATCACTTCTATCGTATAACCAATCTTTCTTCGAATAAATATATTCAAACGAAATAAAAATATGAATAAATGATATAAGAAGTTAAAGTTGAATCTTCTAAATTATATGATATGTGCAAACCAATATTCTATATACATACATAGTTGAAGAATTATGATATAAATTTGTACTGTATTACTCAGAGGTCACATCAAATGTAAAGAAAAACGTGAAAAAAAGAGAGAGAGAGAATCAACAAATTCTTGAACAAAACTACGATTCACTTGTCTCGAACTCAACTAAACCCAATATAAATAAACAAATAAAACTTGATTTTAATTTGTCGTTATCCTTGTACGACATATCGTAGATTAAAATATTCGCTTTCTGATTATCTGTGGGATGTAAAATAACCAAGAAAACATTCCGACAAAACAAATATAGATATATTTGAACGTAGGCGTATACTTCTCTCATGACGCTATATTTTATCTTTTCATAATAGATCAAAATTTCTTTATATTATTTTGCAACATTATTTTTTATTGACAAGTTCAAGTCTAAGCTAATCCGTTCGAAAGTTTCGAAGAATCGCGTTCGCGCGCTCATATCACGCAGAAAGCGCGCAGAAACTTGTTTTAACGTATTTACTTACCTTTTTTCCAACGTAAAATCCAATGAAGAACGCAACTGTATCAATTTTTTAAATATTGTACACGAAAAACACCCAAAGAGAACTGAACACAAAACAAGAATCACGTGTACGACTATGAGGCGCACGCACATCGGCAGCACTAACGCGGTATACCCGTACACAATACAGATTACAAATGTATTATGGCTACGACTCAGACGTTCATGAATGAAACTAAGAGCGGGCTCCACCTCCCCTCCCGCGATTTAGTGTCTCTGACCAATCGGTGGTGGGCGTATACATCCTCTTCTGTGATTCGTTGTTATGCTCTGCTTTTTCCGTTGGAACAATGCTACAGTCCGGGATATATGAATAAATAGATGGTTTACAAATATTCAAATTCTTAGTTATTATATATATATTAATGTACGTAATAAAAAATGATGAAAAATTTAAATTTAAGTTATATAAATGAGATTCAATGAAAAAAAGTTGCTGAATTTTAGTAATAATATTAATAAAAAGTATATAAAATATAATAACTAAAAAAAATATATAAAAAAAATATTTTGATATTTATAATAAGTATATTTAAAAAGAATAAAAATTCTTTAATTTAACGTATATTTAAATTTTGATTAATTATATAACTTAGATTAAAATAATATTTTTCTTAGTATAACTTATGAAAAAGATTGCACTCTATAGACTCGTATATATTCTAAGGTAACGAATATTGATAAGTGTTTGTCAAATATTATCTAAATAAAGAAGTAAGGATATATTATTTTAAATCATATAATTTTTAATAAACTTTTATTCATATTTCATTTTTGTTTTAATATTATGTTTTATTTATTATGTTTTATTATTTTTTTTTTTTTACTATGTCTTATGTAATGAACATAACCTATTACATAAGAATTTATAGAACTTGATTTTACACATTTTCATTTGATACATCTTTAATTCATTGATCTCATTTTTATTAAATAAATCATTTTTATATTTATATTTGATTTGTTGAAGGAAAAATGCTTATTCAACAGTTAACTGCAAGTGCACCAAAAATTATTAAACGTAATATTGGTATTCTTGCACCAGCTTTTCAAGAAGCAAAAGATCCCATACAAAAACTTTTCTTAGATAAAATTCGTGAATACAAAGCAAAAAGCAGGTAAATAAAAATTAAAATAATTTTAATTTAATTTAAGTAAATAATAGTATAATAATTTTAATATTAATTTATAAATTTAGTGGTGGAAAATTAGTTGATGTTACTCCTGAGATTGAAAAAGAAAGACAGGCAGAACTTGACAGAGTTAAAAAACAATTTAATATAAAGGGTAATCCAACAGAGTTTCCAAAATTTAAATTTCAAGGTATGCTTATTTTTCAAACAATTAATTGTAATATTTAAAATATATGTTATTGAAAAGTTATTACATATACATATGTAATGTATATGTGTGTATAAAAAATAAGACATAAAGAATTTTTAATTTCAGAGCCAGTAGTGGAACAATGAATACATATTTAAAACTAAAATATTTATATTAAAATTATTATACATAATGTCAAGTAAATAGTTATAAAAATACATGTATATATAAAATTATAAATACTAGCATATTAAATTTTATTTCCTTAATATTAATGATATAAATATTAATACAGTAAAGATACAAATATAGTTTTCATTTTTAATTTGTTATTTATAATATCTATATATTGATAAAATTATTTTCATTCTATGAGTTTTGTATTTTGAATTATTTCCATTAAAGTTTCCATATCACATTTTCTGGCCACAGACTTGCATATTTTCATAAATTTTACTATTTCATCTTTAGGTATTAAAGTTTTAAAATCACCAGAACAAGAACATAATTCATTCATATTTTCCCTTTTAATTTCTTTACATTTACAACATTGTAAATCTTGTAATATATAACCCATACTCTTACGATTTAATAAATCTATCAAAAGGAATTCTATTTCTTCATTATCATAACTTGTTTTACAAAGAGGACATTTCCATATATATCTATGTAAATAGTAATATTATTTAAATTATTTAAATTTATAAATTATAATTATAAAAAATTAAATTTATAAATATTAAATTAAAATATATAATATTTTATATTACCTATTTTGTTCCATAATACAAAAATTATCTTTACAAAGATCAATATCCCTTGTATGATTACATGCCTTACAAATAATTTCAGGTAAAATCAAAGAAATGCATGGATCTTTCCATTCAACTGCATCACTAAAACTACCAATTCTAATCAATCTTAACAAATTTGTTTGTAAATGATATACTTCATTTTCTACTTCTTTATCCAAAGATAAAACCTGAAGTTAAATTTTCAATTATTTTTTTAAAATAATATTTATGTATCTAATATATATTTGTATTTAATTACCTTACAAACTGATTTAACTAGTTCCAATGCAGGATTAATTCTTTTGCTATCTTTACCATCTAAATCTAAGTTTGGATATTCTTGAATTGTTAATGTTATTTCTGGAAGTTTTTTATATATTTTCTGCACAATTCTATAATATAATTAAATGAAATATATATTAACAAATAAATAAATATTAAATTCAGATGAAATAAAGGAAATATATTTACTGAAACAATTTCTGAGACATATCTCCCGATATAAGTTTTTTAGCAAAATTTGCAGTATTTTCAAGTGATCCTAATCCTAATTGTGCTGCTAAACTTTGACTGTTTGATTTTCTTCTAGGTTTTATAGTAGCATTCAATTCATTTTCAGATATAAATTGGTAAATCGCATTAATATATCCCGCTATTATAGCGCTAAAACTTGATTGACATGCAGCTTCTTTAGGAAGACATTCCATTAAATTCCAATTCATTACTATTTCAGGCTTAATATAAATAAAAATTTAATAAAAATATATAATACAGAGAAAAAAAAAAGAAAAAAAAAATTTTATAAGAACTTACAGTATCTTCATCTTCATCTTCATTCTCAGAATTTTCATCATTCACATTTTTATTTGCAATACTTTCCATATTTTGTGTTAATTTTCCTTTTATGCCGGCATAATTATGCTGTTAATTTATTTTGTGTAATTGAATAATTAAATATAATATTATTGCAATATAAAAATTGAAATTTTACTTACAACATCAAGCCATTTTAGATATTCCCAACATTGTTCAAAAGTTATTTCAATACTGTGAAAAATTTCTTTATTACGTATTGTTTGAACAACAAATTCTATATAGCCTAATGCATCATTTACTGCTCTTTTTTTAGTACATACAATGATTTTATTAAAATTCGCAAAAACAATTATGGATCCTAAAGTTTTAAATTCTGCTAATAATTGTACAAATAATTTTTTCATATAAGTATGCAATGTTCTTCTTAAAGCAGGATCGTAAAGTAAAGCGTTAGGTGAACGCAACCATCTAAAAAATATAAATTAAATTAAGTATATATAAAACGTGCAAATATTCATTCATTCATTTACCTATAAAAATGTATAATTTGATAATCTGCAAATACATTTTTATAAACTGATACATCTAGTAACCATGCATTCACCATACTTCGTAATGATCTAAAAGCGGGACTACAAAGAACTATTTCATCGTAACTAGGAATCGTATTCGTCATAGAATCACCCATTGCCATATCCTATAAAAATTAAATTTACATGTATATATATTTTCATCTTTTAATATGCATTTTCAAAAAATTACATACTTGAACAGATGTTTGTTGTTGATTGTGAAATGCAACAAAATTAGAAGTTCCATCAATATCATGAATATGATGATATTGTAATAATGTATTTACTGCTAAATTTTCTATTTCTAATTCAATGCAGACACTAGAATATGTCCCAAAATTATTTGCAGCGCATTGTGAACTTTCCTCAAAATCCGTTAATAATCTGTAATTAATTTATTTAAAATAATAATAATAATTCAAATTTTATATTGAAACATAAATATAAAAACCTGTTATCATCATGTTCACTGCCACCTAAATCTGGTTTTTCCGTTGAAGAACACCATAATACAAAATTATTTTTTTGTAAATGTCTAGCAAAAAATAAATCTGCACCAAAAATAACAGGATCTGCTGGGATATTTCCAATTGGTGCATGAAAGAATCTACATTGTTCCGACATTAGTTCAAGAATTTGTTGACTTTTAAAATAATGACGTATCATTATTTTTGCACCAACTTTCTGCCATTCCAGTGTATTATATAAATTTTCAATATCTTGCACATGGGTACTAATTAAAGGAAAATCATTAAGTAGTGGCATTTGTGCTACCAATGCAGTTTTATCTAAAATAAATGCATAAAAATAAAATCAATCTATAAAATAAAATAAAATAACTATCTCAGATATTTCTCCCTCATATTTTAATGAATTTTACTAATTTGTAGAATTTTTCAAAAATTCAGAAGTATAAATGAATAATCAAAAAGAAAATAAAAAAAATTTAAAGAGAGATGATTTTTGAGAATATTTCTAAATTCTATTTATAAATTTAATAGAAATTTACCCAAAGCAGTTTGAGTAATAAATATTGGTATATTATATCCTTCATTTTTATATGCAGTTATAGCTGCCTGTATAATGCGGCAAACTTGTTGAAAATTTGTTTCAAATTTCAAAGTGAATTGCATTGATTCTGGTAAAAATTTTACTTTGTCTGCTCCATTCATAGATATACTATAAAAAAAATGATCTTTTAATCATTTTCATAATATAATAATAATATCGGATTTTATAAATCTTACACAATATCTCGTTCTTGAGTATACAATGTATTCATATTAGGCATCTGATTTGATGAAACAGAATCCAAAACAAATATATGAGCTCTTTTACTTGCATTCAGAAAAAGTCCCCATAAAGCTCTTTGATGATTTGAACTCCAATGATGATATAAGAAAACATAATTGATTTCATGAAGCTAAAATAAAATATTTTTTCTTTATAAATTATATACGATAAAATTAAAAAAAAAATTAATTACATTTTGAAGATAAGGTTGCACAGCAATACTTTTGAATTCTAATTGATCTAAAGAAAACGTATCTGCACCATCTGCCATCGTGCGTGCTGCTTTAGGATCAACTGTACAAATGCATCCCAATTGAAGAATAGCTCTGAATTCTAATGACATTTGAGTTTCATAAATTCCTTCAATTTCTGGTTTACTCAAATCCTCTAAAAGTTCTCTATAAATAAATAAATTAATTAATTAAACAAGTTAATGACTGAAAAATATTGAAAAAGAAAAAAGAATATTGAAAAAAAATTTAAAGGAAAAACTTACTGACTATGTTTTTGATATTGTATTTCCGACACAGAATATTGATATAAATTATATACGGGACGAGATCGTGGAAGAATCTTCATGCTCTTCTTCCAAGATACTTTTTTACCTGGTTCTGGATCAGGTTTTGGTTTGCGAGTATTTACATAAAATATACGAGGTACTACAAGACGCAATTGATGAAAATCTCTTTCAATTAATATCCATAATCGATATAAACCAGGTTCATTTGTTTGTGATATCTAAATAATTTATTAATTATTTGAATTAATCAATATATCTAACAAATTATTCTAAATATAATTATAAAAAAAATATTTCTACTTGTATAATTTGCCATGGCGTCATAAACAATTTTCTTTGAGCTCTTCTCAAAAAACCACCTAACGTGGATGTATTAGTATTTCGTATTACACCCCAACTAATTCGATCCCCATTATCGTTAGAACGTTTACTTTTTTTGTTCTTTTGATATTCAGCTCTTTGCTTGGCTTGATAAGCCCATTTTTGTTTATGAAACTTTAGCCATTCTAATCTTTCTTCTTTTGTTGTTCCCATTGACGGTGGTGAACCTAGAACATCTTTCCAATTTTTATTTGCATTTTCTAATTCATTTTCTTCTGAATTTTGTCGTTTTCTTTTATTGGCTATTGGTATTGGTTGCTTAAATATTGGAGCTTTTCCAGCTATATCTTCTACATCACATATATCAGATGATTCTGAATTGTGATCATTATCTTTTTCTTTATCTTTATGTATTATGCTAAATACATCTGTAATCTTTCTTTGTTTATGAGTTGCACTTTTTTCCATTACTCTTTTGTGTAACCAATCCGGATGTTTTACTCTAGGAACTGGATTAGACAACTAAAAAAAATAATTATTCTTTTATTGCTGTAGAAATTAAAAAATGTTTTATACATATAAATATAAATACTCCTTGCATTGCTGCCGGAATTGTAATAATTTTTTGAATAGCACTTCCGAGTCTTTCAATATAATAACTCCAATCTAAAATATTCCGTATATCATCGCTTTGTAGACTAGGATCTTTTAACCATTTACGTAAATAATACTTTCTTATTGCTGGTTCTGATTGAAATATGGCTAATGGTATTGCTCTAATGTAATAAAATATATAATTTTAATACCATATGTACAATCATATAATAAAAATAAAATTTAATTTTTACCGTTCTGTAACAGGTGCGCCTTGAGGTTTATTAGCAATTATATATTTGCATGCTAATCCAGCATCTTTAACCATTTGATCACCTAAAAATTCAGCTAATCTTTTAGCAGTGGAAATAGATGTAGATTTTTGACCTCCATAATCTTCCAATTTACGTGACATCGATTTGTTTTCGGATATAAGTTCAAACAATTCTGAATCTGGCATATCTGCACACTAAAAATTTATTTATTTATTTATTAATATATATAATTAATATGCCAAATTTATAATATTATATATTTACTTTGCTATAAAGAATATCGAGCCAATAGTCCGCATCTTTGGCTACTGATGCATAACATTCTTCTAATGTGTTACCTTTTAAAAAAGATTCAAATACAGAAGTTTGAAAAACTTTTATCAATTGAAGTTCACCTCTTCGTTTGACTTCAAAACCTTTTAATTCAGCCAAAGAACCATCAAAATTAAATACTGCATATCGCTTTTTTAATTTTTTTCCTTCTTCTTTTGCAGCAGGCAATACCATGGCTAAATAAGGACCATCTACTTCAAAAAATATAGAATTTTCATGTCTAACTTTATATGTAAAATTTTCAGGATCAACAAGTTCATGATATACATCATTGGTAAACTGGTCCTATAAATGAAATGAAAATAAAGAAAAAAATTTCAATTAGTATGATAATTAATTAGTACAAATTCTAATAGTAAATAAAAAATTTTTATTGCATTTAATTTACCTTCACCATAAAATTAAGAACAGCATTTGGATATGATATTGCAAGTTTCTTTTTTTTTGAATGTGTTGTATGAATAACTACATTATCAGGAAAAGATGCTGGTAAGACACACCAAATTCCATCAGTATCTAATTCTAAAGGACGACCAACTTGTTCTATAATTTCTCTAGCTCTCATAATAATATGTGCTCCAGTATAACATACTATTCCACCCATTTCCATACTAAACCATCGAGATCTAACATATTAAACACTATATTAATAATTTGTAATTAATTTTAAATATAAAAAAAAAAAATTAAAATTAAAAAAATTAAAAAAAAATTAAAAATCATACCCTTTCCTCATAACATATCCATAGAAAGAATTTAAGATACATTTATGAGCAAGTTGCAATGAATCATAAAGTACTTCCCGATTTTTAGCAGATTTAATATCAGCCGCATCTCCTTTTGCTAAAGCCACTGCTACTTCTTGTTTTGCTACTTTAGTAAGTGCTTTATATTCATATCTTCTATCCCTAAATGCTCTTACGGTATCGACATAAAATGAATTCTCTTTTTGGCAAACTGTTTGTGTTTTTTCTTCCATATTGGTAATTTTAACTTTCTTGTAAGCTTTCTTACAATATTCCGTAAGTCGTTTTTTTTCATATGATGTTTGTTCTTCTTTAGATAATTCATGATATGCTCTGCGAGGACCATCCGGAAATTGTGGTGGAAATTTTTCATTTTCAAGTTGTTGTTGCATTCGTTGATATTCGCTTAAACTTGCGGCAACTGAAATCAAATAAAAAAGATTCGTATGTAACTGAATTTTAATAAATTTTATTTTTGTGTTTTATTATCTTACAATATTCTCCTCTCCACATCCACTTCATATTTCTTTGACAAAGTGCTCCTGGCTTGTTGTAATCGCATGCAGCACAAACTGTTTCATCAACCATTGCAGATGGTTGAAGGCGATTAGTTAAAATAATATTTGGATACATAGCACCCACATCTAAATGATAAATTACAGGATTTTCTAATCTTAATGGTTGATTTCTTAAACCTTTCAATTTCACTGTAATTTCTTCAACTACTTCTTCAAAATTTGTAACCATTTCCATAGGTATTTTTTCTTCTTCTTGTATTGCATGTTTCAAAGCATGTCCAACACCATTTATTAATTCATCTACTGCACTTGGTACTATTTTAAAACGGCATGGAATATCAGCTCTAAAAACACCAGATTCTAAAGCTTCAACATGCCCACCTACATATGTCTCTTGATCCAATAAATGACCATCTTTTGTTAATTTGTTTAATTCTTGTTCTTGTTTGTTGGGAAATATGATATTAGCTTGAAAAGCTTGTACCATTAAAAGAGATTCACATAATGTACCAGATCCTTTTCTAAGTACCTGCATACAGAGAAATATAAATTATTTTATTTTGTATTAATTAGTCTATACTGATTTCTTTATAACTTACTTCATCTGGTTCCATAGGAATAATAGTACATAAAGCAAATATGAAAGGATGAATATATTTTTGATAAAGATAATATGTAGCAACTGCATCAGAAACTGAATAATTTGCAAGAGTTTCTGGTTCTTCAGATGCCAATCTACACATATCTTCAGGATCTAATTCTACTGGATCATATCTAAGTTTTGCTTTTGCTACAGCTTTTAAATTCTGAGAACCTACAGGAAGATAAGAATCGCGTCTTACCCAACTATAATAAAAAAATGATATATTAAGAATAATTGTATTCAATAATTTTTTTCTTGTTTTTTATATATTTAATTTTATAAATTATAATACCATAAACAATCCATATGCATAGCAGGTCTACTGCTATAAACTCCATCTCGATTTTTTGAAAAACCAATTTTATTTTTCATATCTATGTTATGAAAAGCTGCTCTAGTTTCTACAAATGGCCAATCAAAAAAATCACCATTGTATGTTACAAATATATGTGGTCGAATATCATTTATATGATCAAAAAATTTTTTTATTGTGGCCTTCTCATTAGGTTCATTGAAAACTGTAAAAAATCCCTCAAATTCTGGTTTTGGTGTATATTCGAAATCTTCAATATCACACGAAATTATTTCTCTATTTGTTATTAAATATCCCTATAAATATGAATAAAGTATACTTCAAATATCAAGTATTAAATTAAATTTTTTGGATATAAAAAAATACTTGTCCATCAATCATATATGATATCATCATGATTTGATCAGTATCTGCATCTGGAAATTTCAAAGGAAGTTTTGTAGTTTCAATATCATATGCCAATACGATTGGATCAGGTGGTACAATAATATCATCTTTTTTTGTAATAAGTGGTACATCATTTCCTCTTGTTTTAATAATATACCAACTACCACAACAAATTTTCATATCTATAGAAACACGTATATGATGTGGTACATCATATTCTCTGCACAAATACATTCATATCATTAATACATATAAATATTATGTTATATATATGATATATTACCTGATATTTACCAGAAAAATATTTACCTAATATCAAGAATATTATCTGTAAAATCAATAGTTTGCATTTTATGATTTCCTCTATCTTGATCTGAATTTAATACAGTTGCTAACATATTTGTATAATATGTATTATTTTTTTCACGTTCCTTGTTTAATTTAACAGCTTTCATAATATCACGTCTTACTTTGTTTAAGTCTACAGTATTTAAAAAAGAAAGTTTTAAATATTTCTGCTTTAAACCAATTAAATGATTTGGCTAAAAGGAAAAGATATATAATTATTATTTTTTAAATTTTTTAAATTTTTTAAATTCTATCATACCAGATCAAGATCTTCTTTATAAATAGTTTCTATTTTTTGTATAAGTTCAGTATATTTTTTATTTAAACCAGTAGAAACTTCTTCATATGTATCCTTTTTACATAAAATATAAAAATATGGATTATAAGGATAAGAAATTTTAAATCTGGTACAATCTTCTTCTAAAAAGTAATAATCAACACCGCTCATTAATCTTTTATCATCTTCTATAATTTCTGTCTACAAAAGAGTAAGATTATTAAAGAAATAATATTACAAAGCTATTAATAATATTTGCTACTATTTTTTATACTTACTGCATGCATATTAATAAGATATCCTATTCTTTCTTTTATATCATTTACTCTATGAAATCCATATAAACCATCTACTCTTATATTTTCATTAACTTCATTTAACCTGCTTCCTGAAGCATCACTAAAGAAATATAAAAATAAAAAATTTAGAAAATATAGAAATTTATAATTAAATTTTAAATTAAATTCAAATACCCTGATGCATTTCCTTCTTGATTTTGGTCATTTTTTGTATCTGTTCTAAAGGATCGAAATTTTCCTGTATTTTGTAAAGTTGTCATTTTATAAAATAATTAGTTTTATAAACTGAAATTAATATTATTTTTTTAATTAGTTAAAAACAACATGATTATATTTTATACAAAGAAAACATATCACTTGACAAGACAATATTATACTTCAAGTTTGTACTATAGGTTGTAATTTGCCCGCCAATAAATCTTATATATAGATCTAATAAATATATATGTAAATATAATTATAGTAGGATATACTATTAGGATAGGATAAATAATTATAAAATAAAAATTAAATAAAAGTACAAAATTTAAATTGTACAAAAAATAAAAATTATATTTGATTTTTATATAAAATCTATTTCTATATCCTTTTACATTAAAAAAATTATGTGTTTAAATAATACATATTGTATAATTTTAATTTATAAAAAATATTTAATTTTAATTTATAAAAAATATTTCAAAATTCAATCTTTTCATTTTTATTATTTCTTTTTTATTCTATAAATTTATAATAAATTTCAAAATATTATAAAATCTAATTTTTTAATATTTAAATTTGTCCAATAATATAGTACATTTATTTGGCATCATAAGAAATTTACTAGAAATATGATCTATAAGCGTAAGGAAAAATCCCAAGACTTATCGATTTGGAAAAAGGAACGAAATTGTAGGTGGCTCCACGACAGTAATGCGGTTCGACAACAATTGTTGTAGTTCATTAAATAAATTTGTTCTACGATTTTAGTGAAGATAAAAAATTGAAATACATGAGAAAATTAGATACACAAGAGGCCTGGGGTGCCGAAAGGTTAGAAGCGCAATTAGAAGCCGCTCGAGATGGCCTCCGAGGACTCGATCGAAGCATTCGAAAAATCTTGGGCCGGGATCTCCCTGATGGAGAAAACGGTCCGCTACAACCTCCACCAAGGTTAAATTATAAATTTATTTTTATACAATTTTAAATCGTTGTAGAAAAATGTTATATTATAAAACATATATCTTGTTCGATGGTTTATTGAACTTCGAATGAAACACTGTTGTCCAAAAACATAACCTATATTGTATTTGGAGTTTCTACCATTTTATTAAATTATACGTATATGATCTTACTTTGAGAGTCTAAACATTTTTTATTTATAGAAATACATAATACGTAACTTAATAACAATAAAAATTTTTAAATTTCTTTAATTTATTTATATAACCTTATTAAAGAAAAAAAGAAAGATTGTATACATTTGTTGATATATTCTTGTGCATTTATATGTAATAGATTATCACAAAAAAGACCATTACAAGAAGAAAGAAGACGTGTCATATCAGATTTTGTTAACAATGAATTACCTGGTGGAAAAAGAAGATGGCAAGGTTCAAATGGAGAACCAAAAACAGTTTTCAGTCGATTAAGTGCACGTGTACCTTCTAATAATGATGATAGTGCTGACGAAGATGATAATGTAATTAAGGTAGGATTTTATGACAATTAATTTATTCCTTTCCAAATATTATTTTAAATCTTATTATTTATTAAATATTTATTTTAGCCAGCAGTGTCTTCAAGAGTAATAGCAACTCCAAGAGAAATTCCATCTAGACAGGAAGTTATTAGACGTGAAAGAATAGATGAACGAAGCAGACAAAGAAATAAACGAATGTTTGGAGCTCTTTTAGGTACATTACAAAAATTTCGACAAGAGGAAACTAAATTGAAAGCAAAGGTACATTTTTAATTGATATAAATAATATTTTATTTTATATTTATAAAAATAATGATTTTCGTAGGAAGATAAAAAGGCAGAAGTAGAGGCAAGAGTAGAAGAAGCCAGAAGAAGAGAAAAGGAAGAATTACGACGAGAAAGACAACAATTATTCTTATCACGGAAACGACAATTAGCGGAAGTTCGTGCTTTAGAAGCAAAATTGGCGCGTAGTCGACAATTTCAAGATTGGCGCGCTGCACAATTACCACTTGCTTCATTTATTAAAACGCGTGCTCAACCTTCTATTTATTACGTACCAAAGCGTAAACATCCTCATACTGATGTTTTATTAGCTCAATCGGCAAAAGAACTTCATGGTAAGTACTTGAATAACGAGTAAGTTATAAATAATAATCTTTAATAAATTATAAATAAGAAAAAAAATTATAATACATATATTGAATTACAGAGGAAATTGAAAGAAGGGAGAAAGCATTAATCGAAGAATTAGAACTTATAGAAGTACAAGTAGGTCTTGGAAAACATCAACAAAATTTTGATGGATCTACAACGTTAAATACAACAGCGGAAGTTCAACAATCAACGGAAGAAGGAGAAGAAAATCGTGACCCAAATCCAGAGAAGACCTTAGAATCAGAAAATAATGAACCAGCTGATGTTTCTATGAAGTCTGATAAAGAAGAAATCTATGAAAACACAAATGATATAGAAAAGAAAGAAGAAATAAAAGTAGACGAAGCAAATTACGATAAAGATGAAAATTTTGACAAAGACGAAAATTTCGACAAAGACGAAAATTTCGACAAGGATGAAAATTATGACAAAGATGAAAATACAGACAAAGATGAAAACTATGATAAAGATGAAACCTATGATAAAGAAGAAACTTACGATAAAGATGAAAATTACGAGAAGGAAGAAAACTTTGAAAACACAAATGATATTGAAAAAAAGGAAGAAGTGCAAGTAGACGAAGTAACAAATGAAAATAATGGCTAGTATTAAATGTACTTACAATGCTTGTACATATTCCGTACATTGAATGGTCCAACGAAGAAAAATATGTTTTTCTTATACGACACTTTATGCGTGCAAATGAATTTTACAATTTTCAAAGGAAAAAAATTTCACTTTTTACTTGTTATCATATAGATATAAATTCATTCCCTTCATCAAATTACATACTCATTTTTTCATCATGCATCAAACGATGGATGTTATAAAGATTTCTCTTAGATGTAAGAAAAATCATTATGATCAAGAGTAGTTGCATTTCATTGGAATCCCATATTTTTTAAATGTTATATATTTGTATCATGGCTGTTGTAGCATATTATTTAAATAACTACCATCTTGTAAGTAGAGAAGAAGAAAAACCTGGTGGAGAAATAAGTATGTCAATGAACTTTCATTCATCAATTCGATATATTTTTATTGAAAAATTTATGTAAAATAGTTATAATTCATTATTTTCTTTGTATCAGTATCTATCTTTTAATACATATACAAAGAAGAGAAGCATTGAATAAATTATTTAATGCTTTACATATATGGTAGATTAAAGTGTAAATTGAAACCTTGAGCATATCTCTTGGTAAAATAGCATAGTTTGAACTCTGATGCAGATTTATATATCTGTGTTTTTTTAATCGTACACGACATAAATACACATTGGAATAATTAATACAAATATTAAAAGCGGGTAACTTTTCTTCGTAGCAATATTAATAGATACTTGTTACATAAAACCAATTTGAATTCATCGTCATAATAAAAATAATTTTTGTTTTGACTCTTTAAGATAAATAAAAAAAAGTCAAATAAAAGAATAAAGAAATTTTTAAACAAATTAAATATAAAAAAAACCCTTTTACAAAAGCATGTACTTTTTTATTCAATTTTTACTTTATAATCGGACAGCATTCTTAAGAAAATTTCAGTGCAAGGTTTGTAAAAGGAACATCTAGAAAGAAGCGAGATTAAGTGTTGTAATTTGTTAAGTAATTTACACTTAGAATGCGGTTCCAAATCTTTGCCAGCGAATTCTATGGGACTTTCTATCTTTTCTGTGATATTCAAAGATAGGAGGGGATGGCATGAAAGGGGCGTTCCGCCATGCAACCTCGGAATATGGCTAATGCGTCTCTGCTCCGACGTCTTTCCTCTTGCCCTCTCTTCTCGGACTTTGGTAAAATAACTGCTAAGAACGGTAAGAAATAAGTTCTTTATAAAATATTTACTAAAATATAATCTAAAAATAAATAAATAATTATCATCTATCTATAATTAAAATCAATTGTGTAATTAATCGTTAACGAACGAACATGATTAAGAGTCATTGATCCACTTGTTCAGCGATAGTAAGCAAGTTCAAACTTATATAATTTAAATTATAAAAATATATAATTTATCTCTTATATTATAACAATATTATGATATACGATAAATTTTTTTTTCATTATTAGAAATAAAATCTTGCCTGCTTTATTATTTTACATTTTAAGGAGTAAACAAGGTAAATGTACATGATATTTCCTCGTACATTATTCAAAGTTTATCCATAGAAACGAAAAAAAAAAACAGATTAAAAGTAAGGGACGGCGACGCTCGACATCGGATAGCGCAGAAGCATGAAGCGTGCGACGCGACGCGTCGTGGAGACATGAGAGAAGCCGACAGGGGCTAGGGGTCTGCGAGCTATTTGTACACCGAATGGAAAACGCGCTTCGACTCGCCTCCAGACGAAAGGAACATGCTGGACCAAGAAAATGGGACGTTTTCTTAATTATCATGTTCCATTCTATATATTTTTCTTTTTTCTTATATTCTATTCCAAGTAAAAAAGATTCCATTGTCGAGAGAAAAGAAGAAAGATTTAAAATATAGATGAACAACCACGAATTGTAATCGATGTTTATTAAAACGAAATTGTGATAATGAATAAAAATAAAAAAACTTAAATTTAAGTTTGAATAGTTGAAATTTAGATTTAAATTATTTCAATTTTTTTTAAATAATCGAAATAATTTTGCGAAATAAAGAAAACAATTCTCTCGTAATCATATCTTTTTAAAATAGTTTCAGATTTTTCAAAGTATGAAAAAATTGTTCCATACCAATTACTTTACCTCGTTCTCGGGAAATTGTGCGGTTCTGACGTCTGATACAGCATCTTTTCAACCACACCGAAATCTTGGCTCATTAATCGCGCTTGTACTCTTCTAATACATTCTATTCTATTCTAAGCAGAGGCAGAGTCTGTTCCCTCGCAGAGGGTTTATTTAACCGTTAATTTATTAGCGTATCTTCGTCATGGCGTAGCTCGTAATCGAGCGCGACGGGGTTCGCGAGCACAGCGTGCCGCGGAAGCAAACATTTGCTACCAGAAGTCGCCGTATTTTAAACGGAGAAGGGTTGTAACAGGCACAATGGTCGAGAACACCTTTATCTCACGGTTGAATTCTCATCTTCGCTGGAAAATCGTTGACCGTCTATTTGCCGTGGAAATTTATACGTCCATTCAACGACCAATGTCCACTCCTCTGATATTAGAAGCTGAAACAATTTGATGAAGTTTGTAAGTAACTAAATACATTCGAAATAAATTGTATCTATCTTTTTAAGGAACTTACTTCTATTTTAATTAATAGTTCCATCCGTATTATTATACTTCCTTTTCCTTTTTTTCGGAAAGGATCGATTTATGATGATTTTTCAGAAAAGAGAAATTACGACGATCAAAAGAACTCATTCTTCCTTTCTTTTTTCGGTTAATAAGAGCGACGTTAATGAGAACATGGAAAACCGACACGGAACGAGAAGAAGTCGGTTCCAAAGAAGTCGGTTCCCGTGAGTAGGTTTTGTCGCTCCTTTGACTAGGGAGTAATAGAGTTCCAGGGCGGAGTATCTTACCGCAGAATGGAAAGGGGATATTCGTATTTCAAAGGGACAAACCGTTGTGCCGCAACGGTGTTCATTATGTTGTACACGACTAAACGTCACGAGAAAAAACACGGTTGTAACGCGTACGTCATCACCAGAGCTGATGAACTAGCAAGTTTTACGCGAATATCACTTATCGAATTATTGTCATTTTAAAAAATGAGGATGAGAGATTCAAGAAAGGATTGAAGAATTATTTTTATTTAATGGGATATAATATTGATTTTACGATACTTAAAGGACGATACGATGAATTTTATAAAAATGGCGTCTGAGCAGAGTTTAATATCATCTTCCATTGGAAAAACTATCATTGGTTATTTTGGCTGAGATCCGTGATGCTTGAAACGCCGAGTGGGTGTCTAATTTCGTCGAAGAGGAGGGATTTCACGCTCGATCAACGCTGATTGGACAGCGCCGGTCCGTTTGCTTTTATAACTCGGTGCTTTCATACATGCGCGCGCGCGCGAGCGGTTGCTTACACAAAAGGCAGCATGACGCGTGCTATTATTTACTCCTTTATCGAATAACAACTTGAAAATTAATAGAAAGTATACGTGTAACATTTATTATTTCATCATAACTCTTGTATACAACTATCCGATTACTCTTTTCTCGAACAATATTACCAATCTTTCAATTGAAATTGAACAGAGGAAATAAGTTACGTAATAATTATTTCATTAATTGAAATTTAACTAATATTAGTTGAAGGAGTCGTAACCGTTATACTTTCTTCGAGGAATCATTGTTTCTGTGAAAAACAAGAGGAGAAACGATTTATTTATTAAGTTGTAAGCTGCTTGTACGCGTTAAGAACGATATCGTAGCTCATTAAACATTGCACGCGCATTATCTTCGGTTACAGAGAAACGCTCTTGATTATTCGGAATGGAAGCATCAATCAAGCAGTCCAAGTTATCGGCAGTTACGCGTGAATATTATAAGACATTTAACAGAATACGTAAATGTCTAACTGTGTAACGGACAATAAATTCTATCCATCATGTCAGCTACTTTTTATTTTACATTTTACGACTATGTCATTTTTCTAGATACGTTCCGCGCGTTTTTTCATTCGTCGCCGGTCCGAAGTCGACAAAGAAAAATCGATGAAAAGACGATTGGAAATTATCTTCTTTGTTGCAAAAACTCTCGATAATAACTGTAAGATATCGTTTCAAACAATTAAACTTGGATTTTAATTTCAATTTGCACATTTGAACTCTTGAATATAAATTTAAATTGGAAACTTTGTATTTGATTTCGAATCGAAGCAATTGAATCGATCAGATATTGAAAATACGTTCAATTATTAAAACTACTTAGATTGTTCCTTTTTTTCGCGATGGTTTCTTAATGATGATTTCTCAAGTATTGCGTCGACCGTTTCTGGAGCGTCGATCAAACTGAATACATAGCTTGTGCTTCGATCGATTGGAAACTCGCGATTACACGAGCACATGGACAACTAAATCCCGATAATTTTTCAGGATTTTTCTTTACTTCTGGATCGTTGCTTCTCAAATGGACTTTCCTTTTGCTTCATGGAACTCTTAGTAATTACAAAGATCACCGCAATAGATTAACTTCAACTGAAATACAATTTATGTTATCGACTTTCCTGTTTATTCAATTAATTGTAAAAATCGTATAAATTTTTGATTCTCTATGTTATAATCTTAATAAGAAAGAAACTGAAATATATTTGAAAATTGTGCCAGAAAAGAACGAAAATGTAGAGAATAACTAAAATTATATTTTTGAATTATTCATCGTACCAATTGAATCACGAGCTAGGAAATATATTAATGTTGAAAAAATTTTAATCAATTATAGTGATGGCCGCGCAAAAATGAGATTTGTACATTTATTGTACATTGTTTATTCTGTATTATGGTTTAACAAACTTAATTTATATAATTCTTACCTTATGATTACCTGTTTGTCGTCTCTTTGAGGTTCTCATCCTTGATCTCGAAGAATTTGAACGACGATGGTAAAAAGAAACATAATTTTGTTGTTTAACTTGGAGGAAAATATATATATTTCCCAATGACAAAAATTGCATTTCATAAAAAAAAGCATAGCAGAAGATTATAGTTGTCCTACATCGCGATACGATTGTACAAATTTATCAATTAAATAACATCGATAACGTCCCGCCGAATCGTCAGAGAACTTTTTAACGTTTTTCGATCTCGCTTGGCTGGGAATCAATAATTCTTTCTTCAACGATTATTATATCATTAAATATATACGCAAAGATCGAACAAACATACAAAAAAGAAAAACGAGCTAAAGGACTATTCCTTAAAATGATTCCTAAAAAAAGGTGTTCGACGTAACGTGCATATTCTTTGAAAAAGTTTCAACAATCTCGATTATCTTCTCTCACAGTCCGTTACAAATACATAACAAAACAGTAGAAATTGCTTTTCTTTATGGCACTCGAGAAAAGGCACTCTTGGCAAAATGACGATAAAAATATATAATACTGGTGAGATGTATCGTTTTCGCCAGCTACACATCCCATATTTATTTCATATTTTTCTCTATTTCGTCTTTAATCTCACAATCACTCGATAATTTCGATCTTTCTTTTTCTTAATTACATATTGATTACAAATTTAACCGATATACTCGTATTCAATTGTACGTGCAACCACTCTATTCCACAATCCAACGATATTTTAGTCTTTTCACTCGCGCTTCATCATTCTAACTATATAATTTCATTCGAATAATTTTAATTACAAGGACTAGCCGGTTGACTGTTGGTCGCTGATGATTGCATCATGATCGACTGTACGGTGAGAACCGGTGACGTGGTCGCCACCGGCGTCACGCTGTCCGAATGATGATGATGATGATGATGGTACAGAGCCGACGCGTAATACTGCTGATGATGGTGATGATGGTGATGCGGATGATGGTAGCCGCTGGTCTCCTCGTTGTTATTGTTGCTGGCAGCGTTGTCGTTGCTCTGATGATGATGATGATGATGGTGGTGGCCGTGGTGATGATTATTGTTAATGGTCGCGCACAGCGGAGAAGTCGGCGAGGGGGATGATTGGGAATTGGTCAAGTTGCAACCAGTGGCCAAAATGTCGTGAACCGTGTGAGGACTGGGCCACTGTAAACCGGCGGAAGTGGCAGTCTGATGGCCGATACTGGCGTGAATCGTGGTCGGAGACGATGGTGACAGCTTACCAGGCGTCGTCGGCCCAACTGGAAACGCACCGGTACCAAATTGGTAGGGAGAGGTTCGTTCGAATTCGATTATTCAGTGCTCGTATCAGGATGGAAGAAAGAGACGCGACTGTTGCCTGATATCCCGCGAGCTTGCTGCTAGAACTGAACGCACACTTCAAGTTGCACCGTGGTGGAGAACGAGTTCTTGTTCTTTTTGGGCGGGTCTCGTTTTGCGTTTCCTCTCTGTCGTTCCGAGAGAGAGAGAAAGAGAGAGAGAGAGAGACACGAGCAGAGAGGAGGTGTACATCTACTGTTCTTCCACCAATGTGTCACGTACCGTGTTCGTGGTAGGTTGGCGTTTCGAGCAAGAACTTTCTGAATACTAATCACAAATGATAGAATCGACAATTAATAGATTCTCTCTGAAAATGATTTTCTTCGATGTGAAAACTGTGAAAAGTTCTCGCTCGAAGAAGAAGAACAAGATTATTGAGCATTGATATTACCAACCTTGATGATGATGATGATGATGATGATGCGTTACAGCGGGTGGCGGCGTCGCGTGATAAGGCGTCGGTGGATAGGGGACGGGGCAAAGGGCGGCTCCGGCCGCGGCCGCAGCTGCGTATAAATGATGATGATGGTGATGATGCGCCGGATGATGGGGATGGTGATGGATCGCGGTCGCCGCGCCAACTTTGTTCCTCAATATCCTCGAGATGCTGCTCACCGATGGGACGTTGTACTTGTCGCACACTCCATCGGACAGTAACCGATCCCTGATCTCCCAAGCGAAGATCCCCGGATCCTTGAGCTTCAACTGCTTGATATACTGGACAACTTTGGGGGTGGTTACCCGGGGTTTGCTGCCCCCGATAGCGCCGGGCAGTATGCTGCCTGTCTCGTGGTAACGGGCCAAAATCTTGCTGACACAACCATGGCTGACTCGCAGCTGCCGCGAGATGTCGCACGGCCTGATCCCCAGCTGTGCAAGCTCCACTATTCTCAACCTGACCGCGTTCGGCAAGGGTCGGCCATTCACGAACACACCCCCTAGTTGGTTCACCTCGCCGTATTGTTGTTGCTGTTGTTGCTGATGGGGTTGCTGCTGTTGTTGCTGCTGCTGATCTGCACCGAGTTCGCTCGCGTTACTCTCTGTCCGTAAAGAACGTCGAAGGGTGGATTAGGTTTTTCGATATTAGTAGATATTAGACGTAGAATGAATTGGAACCAGTCGAAGAAGAAAAAATGGTCGGGGCTTGGGTTAGTCTTTTTTTTTATAGACGTGGTTGATTACAGCGCGACCCTCTGGGTCCATAAAACTTTTAATAAATTTCGGTCTCATTCGGTCTTTCTGTTTAGGGACACGTGACACCCTGATTTTCGATTTCGTGGTTTGCGGGACGAGAGGGAGAGAGAGAGAGGGAGAGAAAGAGAGAGAGGAAGAGAGAGAAGCAAAAAGATATTGATTTAAGAAAATTCGTCTCGTGGGGGAAAGCATAAATTTTAAGGATTAGTTGGAACGTAAAACGAGCGAGTAATCTCGCGTCGATTCGACGGGCTAGGCTACTAAATAACGCGACGATAATATACTTCGCATCGGAACTTACACCTGGCGCTAGGGTTCGTTTTAATGAGATGCAGATGTATGTCGCTTGCTCGCTCCTACTCGGTCGAGCACGGCTGTAACAACCCTTAATTAGCGAAGCAATGCCCTAGCAATTGCCTCTAACTGCGTTCCAAACCCACCTAAATTCCGTTTGCCGGTATGAAAAGACAACAAGCCGTTACGAGAATAATAAGGAGTCTATCTTTAACTCGGGAACGATGGTCGTGCCTTGTTCCGACTCACCGACCACGTTAAATTTCCATTGAAAACGAGAAAATTTACAGATACGCCTATACGAAAATAGAATTTTTCAGACAGAAAAATATCCAAAACGACTCTATACGAGATTTAACAGATCGACAAATAAAAATCCAAGAATTTGATTTTCTGTCTATCGCGCAAACAGATGGTTCGAGCATCCTTAATGCGTTAACATCTTCCAGGTCTTTTGATGTCGAGAAAAGATCGAATCCTCGTATTTCTCTTTTTTTGCATCTATTTGAAGAGGCTCGAAGTGGAAATAGAGATGGTGAACGGATATCCGTGAAGGAAGTACGAACATGTCTCCCGAGGAACGCGGCTTTCCCATCCGCGGAAGGGGGGAAATTTATGTGGCTCTCTCGTTTCTCTCCCTTCGGTTACGTCGGTTTCCATTCCCTTCCCGTCGTTTCTCCTTTCTGTTCGCGAAGCGGCAGGCCGACGTATGTACGCATTACGGAGAAGAGGAATAAATAAGAAAACCGCGGCGGAAAGGAGGGCCCTACGATGCCTCTGTGATTCCTGGAAGAAGAGTTTCGTCGCCGACGCCGCCGAGCGTAGAGACGCGTTTTTGCGCGGCCACCGGCCACCATTTTTTTCTCCGTCCCCTTTTTCGACATCCCCTCGATCTTTCTGTAATGGCGGCTTCTTGGCAGAGGCGCGAAACACGCGCCCTTTACGCCACATTTCAACCATCAACGGTGTATCGATGCGAGGAAAGCTCTTTGAAGTCGCGACGATCCAAATAATTTCGTACGTATTCTTTTTTCCCACTTTTTCTAATTATCTTATTATCCTATTGAAATATACATCCCCAAGATGGGGATGTTTCGATGTCGAGTAAATTTTGTAATTTTTTGTCATTTTGATAAATTTGATCAGTACAATTCCTTAGAATTCGAATCGTTATATTTTTTTTTTTTTTTTATTAAATTTTCACAGATAGAAGGTTTTTCAATTTGACCATCGGCGGTTTATAAATATTTTCTTAAAAATTGATCGATTGAGAACAGTAGCGGAAGAAAAGGTTTAATTGAAAGTTTCAATTGGAAGACGAACGACGAGGCAGTTTTCCAAGAATCACCCCGCTAAAAGGAGCGGGTTTTTCAGCGGATCGCCGTTTCGTGGAACGACCCCGACGTGGCCCGTTAAACTCCAACGATTTGGACTTAATGACCCGCGTTACATTAAAACTCCGTCTTTTTGCCGGCGAACCGTTCGATCGCGAAGGAGTAGCGCGGGCTCGTTAAACGGAGAGACAAGCCCCGTAGTTTATGCCTGCCTCTTGTCGGCTCTCTTATATAGATAAGTAATTAATGAGGGGATAAACCGCCTGCCTGATAGATTTATAATTACGATGAATTTCCTTACTTTCCAGGAGCATCTATCTATCTGTCGACTCGCCTTTACAAAATTATCAACACCTTGCGAATCGCGATACCGCGCATGATAAAATTGTGAAAATTTTTTACCAATTTTGTTCCAGACGATAACTCCATTTTACAAAACTCAATTATATTAAAATTATAAGATACGAAGATTAAAAATAATATTTCTACCATCGAGAATTATTTTCTCTATTGACTTCTATCGGGATAAATATCCTTTTTTCGATTTCTTTTTTTAAATATATTTCAAACCAAATATTTTTTTCTGTCCCACAGGTATTAATCTCCTCTGGTCTTAAACGACCAAACTCTAGAAATCCAATAAGAGTCGGCAATAAATTCTCAGCGATATAGGTTTCTCCCTAAGTCTCCCAACTCGTAAACCCCTCTCGATAACAGGAACGAAAACATGTTAATACTACGAGACAGATACATCCCCAGAACAATGAAAATTTCGAACAAGTTGCGGGATAAGACGAAAAGCAAGGATGTCCCGAACGGGAAAGAGATCTTCCCGGTGCGGAGCATGTGTGCGCATGCATACGCGTGCACCGTTCACCCTCCTCCTCGGTGGATACGTGTATTACACGCGTGTAAAATGACTACACGCGTCGGACCCTTTGATCTCAGCCATTCATCACCCCGTGGCGGAGAAAAAGTCTAATAATATTGCGTGCACCGCGACGTTCACGCGCGTGTACGCGCGTGAAATAGCCAGATCGCTGGTTCCACGTGACGATTCGCAAACGTATGGGTCCACTCGATCTTCCTCGATTCTCGAAAAGATACGAGAAATTCGCGCGGACGGGAAGAAGAAGAGGGATGAAAAGGGAAAGAAAGAAAATGGAACGACGAGAATTTCGAGCGAATTTCAACGAGACCCACTGTCCCTAGCTTGACATACGAATTTATCACAATAGCGGATTATATTAGAGAAACGATGGAAGTCGAATACGCGATCGAAATTGATAATGCGAAAAACTAAACGATAATCGTCCAACCGTAACCGTATATATAATATTTTGCGACAGTTGCGACAGTGTTCGCCCGACTGAACGATCAATTTATCAAAAATGGCGCGGACGAAAGATACATTATATGCGAGCATAATCTGTTCTTCAGTTCACGCGTAAATACCAGTTGATTCGTCGCGTTCAATTTATATCAATTTATAAGAACGGTTGCGAGGGAGCGTGTTATTCGCGTAAACGGTCCTCCAATTATTTTTCGGTGACATTTCATGTTCCTTCTTCATCAAGGGATTAAGAAGAAGACGATAAAAAGCAGGGAACCGTGGCGGAGGGAGGGGAAGCATCGGCTAATTTGGTAGCTGGAAATTTGCGAAAACGATACCGGGGAGGCGGAACAAATTGTCGAGGATAAAAGGACGAGCAAAAATTGCCCCCGTTGGTATAAGTAGAAAAGTTGAACGGCGAACGCGCGAGTCCGTGATGTGGGCGTATACCGGACGAGTGATGGATGTCAGTGTCACCCTCGAAAACACGTGTTCCGCTTACATAGATGCCCGAAACGCGACTAGTGTTTGTCTACCATTCTCACTCGCTAATTATCGACCCCTGTGCTGCCTCCCTTTGTCGGCCTCCGGCTCCGCTTTTATAGAAACGGATCTTTTCGTTTAATTTCCTCGGTGGTTCTCCCGGCCGGGAGCACATGTCACTGATTAGTCCGCCCCAACGCCGGAGATTAAAGCTCCTTAATTTTCCAGCGCGAACGTGGAACAAGTTGAAACGATTCGGAGCACGATCTCTGCCACGAAATACACGCGATCCGTGCAACGTTCGGTAAATTAAATCAACGAAATGGTGGTTGACGAGATGGACTCGCGTAGCCGGTTTCGATTCGCGAAATTGTATCGTGGAATGAAAATTATCTCGAATCGTAGCGTATACGAATATCTTGGTATATTATAGTCGAAATACCAAGTGAACGCACAAGATTTAGATTTATAACACGTGTAAATGTTATATCCTGAGGACGTTTAAAATAGTCCTGTCATGTTTCATCATTATTTCCAGCGGCTTCATAACCTGGGTACTGGCCAAACGATGTCAAGACGAAAAGAATCTCAATAATTTGAATTAAGTTAATCTAGAAGCTGGCAGTCTTAATCGAATTGTTTATCGCGCTCTATCCGAGAGACGGAGACACGCATGAAGTTGTTACAGTGCAAATATAGTAGTAAATCATGCCGCGTTATCGCGAGCGGTAAATTGACTCACGAAATATATTTTTCGCGAACTCTTGGGGAAAAAATTATCATAGACATCGAAAGAATTTTCGAAATTTTTTCTTAGATTACCACATCTATTTATAAGCGTGAAATTTATGCAACCCGATGCAGTAGGAAATTAATTATACGTTAATCGCGGTATTTTTCACGATAACCGTTTGACCCCATCGAACATAGTTTCATCATAGCTCCTCGGATTTCTAGACGCGTATGTTGAGCAACTCAATTAAGATGATTTTCAATCGAATCCTTCTGTTTGCAATAAAACGTGATACCTATAATTAATTTTTTGGAAAAATCGAGTCATAGCTTCGTCAAAGCGATGCTTCTTTGTTGGTTTATGCTCCTCGTAAATGTCCACCCCTTTTGAGCTTAAGTTACCAGCCCATAGTTGACTACTCTGATCGTTTAACGAGCGATTCGAAACACGATCTTTTAAATAAACGAATCCACTCGTAACTCGTTCCTTATTCGTGATATAAATTATTTATTTATTAGAATAGACGCTAGAAAAAAAAAATCGGATCTACAATTTCCCGCGCGAATTTTCCAATTCCTTTCCCTCGCAGAGACTGTACCTTTCTTCGTGCAACCTAAAATACACCCGTGCAAAATTTATCTCGCACACGCGTGTGCGTGAGCCCGTCTCACATCTGGAATACGCGATGACAGTGGGACCGAAATATATTCGATCGACGAACAAAAAACGCGCCCCGTCGAAATTTACGTTCCCTTTTTTCCCTTAGATCTTTTAACCGTGACTTGATATTTCTTAATAATAACTCGAACATTATTCAATATTGCTTTGGGAATAATTAATAAAAATAAGAATCACCTCTTTTTTGGATTTATTAAAAATAAAATTTCTCCTTTCTGGAATTAATATTAACATTCCTTCCCCAATATATCCCTCAACAATGTCTATTCAAACACGGAAAAACAGGATCGAGAGAGTTAAGATCCCCTAGAGAAGAGCGCTAAGATGAATACCGAAGTAAACGAACGGCAAGCCATAATTGAAAGCATCTTCTGTGCCGAGACGAAAATTGCTACTCGACTCTGAAGCGTTATAGAGTCGCGACAAGTTTTTGGGATGGGCTATTAGAAGAATCTCCTGTGGCGGTCCGCCAGGATTTTGAATCACGAGACGGGTATGCAAAACTTCACGTCCAAATCGTGCAAGTAATAACTTGTCAACGATACATCGTTTCGCCTTACGATCGTTGTTTGTGAATGACTATATGCCGCATCTAATAGTCCATATGATACGTTCCATCTTGCCATACCCAAATCGCTCTGCAATTATATTTTCATACGTGTATCAATGCTCGAAGATGAACATAATACTTTTGCATCCTTTTATTTTCTTTTTTATTTTCTTCTTCATTCATTCTTCGTATTTCCTGAATTCCCTTCAGAAATTTCTTACCGATCTTTCGTGATAATAGTTGTTCGGTCAATGTTGTACAGCTTCCAAAAATATGAGGCCGATAAAGGCGCATCGAAATGTTGCTTAACAGAACTATAAAAAATTATTATCGTTTCTTACGTTTCTGGTAATCTACTTGTTACGTACCTCGCGATATCGTGTCAAATTGCTTAAATTAGCTTTCACGTTCTCTAGGAATTAAGATAAAGATAATTTTAATATTTTCAGATAATCGCTGTATTTAATATTGTTAATTGATAATTGTTTTACATTTACTTCTAAAAAAAAAATAATAAGTAAATAAAATGTTCCAGTATTTTATTCGATAAAGTGAAAAATACTCGATAATTGTTATACCTAATTATTTTACGTTTACGCAAAGAAATAAAACGTTTCATTATTTTACCCCATAAAATGAAAAAGTTCAAAGTGTTTAGAAGATTTTCAAAGAATTTTCGAATCTCCACAGAGGACCGAAGTCGTTGGAAACAACTTCCCTGAGAGGAAGTCGCAAACAAACGATCCCTAGGTAGCTCTCGAAAGAACTCCAGAAGCTAGTACAACTATTTGAACAATCCTCTGTCAACTGGACCCTTTAAAAGCTAGTTTCCTTGTTTAACTAGAACAAACGGTACTAATTGAACGCTAATGAATCTGTAACTGCATGTTTCCTGACAATGTCAATAATTTCGAAGACTTCGCCTGAATCTTTCCACTCTAGATACAATCTGGTTTTCCATTTAAAACTTCAAAGGCAAAAAGCATTATTTTATTATCCAAATCATTTCATCATCTGTAGTAGCAAATTATTATAATCATTATAATCACTAGCTAATTAAAACAAATGACATTTCACAATTAATTTCATAAATTTCATAAATCGTTTTATTATTTCATTTATCTGCGTACGAAACATTTGCCCATTTCATCAATATTCATTATTATCTATTATCATATGTACTATCAATTATCCATCTATTAATCGGTTTACCGTGTAAGGTATCCAAATTCTTTTCAACTTATACGTTTAATAATTAAACATCATCCAACTTATTAATCGGTTAATTATTCCCCGATAACACGGTATACATTACACAGTATGCATTGTTAAACACGATTGATGAATTTCAACATTGTCTGCACGATAGCTTTGCGAAGTAGCTCGCAATCGTGCAAAATAACAAAGAACCGTTTAATCGTTCTTTACGAATGCGTCGTGACAAATTTTTATTGTCCATCCTATCTCCACCCACGTATATACTCGATTTAAAGAAATACTCTCGGGTATTATCTATGGAATATGTTTCCAATGTATCGCGTTACATATCGAGGTCTTGAACCGTACATGCGGCTATTGGTGCGGGTGTATTGGTGTCAATGACTTCAGAGACTGTCAACGTCATTGGAGAAAAAACCAGAGCCCGATAAACACTGGCGTTTTAAATCACGGACACCACCTCGGTTTCCATCGTTTTTCTTTGCGATTATTCCCTGCGAAAATTCATCGATTTTCTCTGACCATATGATTCATAACGTGTTTCATCGTTAATTTTAACTCGTTCAATGATATCCAACGTAGTAAATAAAATTTAAATTTCAATTGATTCATTTTACAATCGAAAAAATAGATTTTTTTCGAATAATAGCGAGGCCATAAGATAAATAATTTTACGAGATTTTTAAATTATTTGTTTAACGGATACGAGATATTACATGTCTACTGTGGAAAATTGTTGCAAGGGTAATGTTAAATCTAGGTCATCGGTAATGTTTTACGCGTCACAATAAACGTGGAACGTCGAGATTTATTATCCTACATTACCGAAATATAGGTCATTATGCGCTCTCTTCATTATCATTGATTGAATGTGTCACTTTCCGATTATCGTTTTTATTCTTCCAATCAACAATGTTCTAATTTATATAATAGAACATTTCGAAATACACGCACTTTCCTTTTTGTTCAAAAAAATTTCCTAAAGATAAGAAAAGGGTTAATCGAGGAAAAGTTAGGAAGGAGTCATGATAACATATATCATATCAAATTCTCTCCGTATTTCCAAACATCGTGGCAACAGAAATACGCAGTTGGCTGGAGGTTCACCGGTATCTGATGGCACAGATTATGCTCCTCCCGAGAAGCGTCTGCGAAACAGTCTCGTTAGAACGGTCCACTTCGATATTCGTCAAGCCAGAAAACGTTGCTGACATAATTATTAAACGGCCAGCCTTGTATACGGTTGCTACGACTGGTCGAGAGTTTCAGAAGGCGAGAAAAAAGAAGATCGAAAGCAGGGCGATAAGGAACCGAGGAGGGCATCCGGGACCCAGCAAGGTCAAAGGTTGCTGGAGAAATGAGTACAGTAAAACACTTTCTATGAATGGAACGATTCGTAACCGTTTATATCACGCGAATTATTCCATTATTTTGTCAATGTTTCTTTCAATTGTTTGCGCTTAAAATGATCTATTTGATATATAATTCACACGATTAAATGCTCGAAATATTTTGTTCGATAATAATATGGACGTCATTTGTCGATAAAAGACAAAATTGATAAAAGAGATTTAGCTAATAACGATTATAAACGAAAGATTCGAAGGGCACGAATGCTTGCACGATGGTTTAGGTGAAGCTCGTATTGGTAGTTAGATTGCGGCAACCTATTTCACTATCATCCGCGATTTGCGCGAAATTAATAAATGGCGAGCGACGGCGCCACATCAAGATACAACCAAACGCCACGTCTCATTTAATTATAAATTCAATTAGGTCGAAGTTGATTGACATGTCCACACACGTCGCGCACCATCGAGACTCGATCTATCATCTCGCACAACGAACAATTCGAGAAGAACGAGAAAATCTAAAAGACGAAAAAAAATTTATGTCGTCGACATAAGAAGAAGAAAATTGCAAGAAAATTGCATGTACATATATACATAGTAGCCCGTATTAATTATTTTTTCAAGATTTTATTGTAAATAAGACGAGAGATTTGTATGATTAACGTGACATTAATTTCAATTATCGATACATGAAAAAAGGAAATATTAAGATTGATAAAAGAATTCTATTGCATTTATTGTGTATTATTCTATATAATAATATATAATATTAACATAACAAATAGAATATAATAATGTTATATGTAGTAAATTTATGAAGTTTTTAGACACGTGTTCAATCCTGATTTATATTAGTCTCCTAGTTTTTTTTTTTTGATATATCATTCAACAATTCTTCTTCGACTGTTTCAACAACAATAAACGAAAAATAAATTATCAAAGAAGATGAAAGAATTTAGATTATATAGCTATAACTTCATTATTATGATGTATACGATTTCTCACCTAACACGATGGGATCCATCAGGAAGAGCAGCCTTGCATCCGTCGGCTACATGCAACGCGGTTCCTCCAGTTCTTCTGCAAACTTTACTCCGTTCAATTTTTCTTTATTTTACTTAGCCTATCTAAATTAATTTCTTGATTTATTTGTTGTCTTTCGATTTATCGATCTTAGAAATATCTTTCAATGTTTATCAAATAACCTTATCTCATCTGCACTCTGTTCACCATACACCACCGTGTTCTTTCAATTACTAGCATCTCTTTTCGTTTCACATTTTTGATTGTACATACATGTAACGTAACATTCCGCCATTCATTTTATAAGATTTTTCGATACTGGACATACGTATCGAATGGAAATGAAATATTAATTCAATTGGAGAAACATCAATAAGTCACTTAGCACAGCTGCAATGAGCGGAAAAATAATCGACCATCCACAGTGCTTCATTCATGCAAAAAAGGCGCGTGAGCCAGGTAAAAGATGGAGAACACTAGAAGATCGAATGGTAGCGAGCATGAAGAACTTAAACGTTCCACGCCGCCTTCCTTCGTCGTCCTTCATTCACGCGCACTGAAGAGAGACACTGAAGGCGTTCTCGCGGCTGTCGAGGGAAAAACGCGACAATTTAGCGCAACAGTAAATAATCTGGTGCAACGGCGTGCAGGGTACCGTGTCCGTATCCACTCACGTTCTATAAAAAAAGAAATGAGAAAAGAAAAAGGAAACGTAGACCTGAACAAGAAAGAAAAAGAAAGAATGAGTCGCAGCTAGACGAGACGAAAAAAGAAGCACGGACACGGTCAATGGTGCGCGGCTCGCCCTTCGCTGCCTCACTGACTGGGGCGACAGATTTACCAGAGCAGAAATAAGAAATCTCCTCTCCGACTAGTAGCGTAGCCTTTAGAACTTGGACCCCCGTCTGCTTCATGTATATGTTGTCTTACTATATGTGCATATGTTACATACACGAATTAATGCAGAATGCGTATCTCATGGTCGAATGCGTGTGCGTGAAAAGACGCACCCACCTACTACTTGTTTTAAGCAAGCATGATCGTGCATACGTTCACTCGTTGCAACGAGAGTGAATAGGAAAGAAGTGAAGATTATAGACGAATAAGCAAGATAGAAGGCAGAGAAACGTTTGAATCTGAGAAAAGAAGATTAAAAGAGGATAGATAGTAAAAATGAAAGAGAAATATATAAGAAGATATGAAAAGAAAAGGGATGAAAGATGAGAGGGCTGCAAGTGGTCGGTCGACCAATCGGTGGCCGCTCACACTAAAGCTTCGCGCATACTTCTGCGCATCCGTGTGATCGAATATCGAGTACTTTCGTGTAGTTACACTCTTTTACTGTTGTGTATGTGCGAGTACTCTGGTGCGCACGCTCGACCAAACACGGTCAACAATCACGATGGAACTAGGAGGGAAAGTTAGCCACGCTTAAGAGGCGGAGTCACATTCACACGGACCATTGGCGAAAGCAGTGCACCGTGAGCAAGTCTGGTTTACGCCTCTTCATTGTATACTCTTGTGTCAAGCGTTTATTATCTTATTCTATTTTCCATGTATAGACTCGACATACTTATTTACATACACATACTCTTTTGACCATGTTATATTCCTTTCTACTCATGAATTATAGAATCTTTTTTAATTAGATTGTCAATAGAATCGTAATGATGATGAGACTAAAATTAAAATATACTCTTAAAATATAATAACTTTATTTATTCGTATCATAAATTTCTAACATTAAAATTATAATTTTCGTAATCTATATATCAAATGATATTAGAAGATATAAAAAAAGTATCAAAAAAAAATAATTTGGTAAAATAAATTCTAATTCAAAAATCTCTGTGAATAATATTTACTGTTCTATTTTATATTGTAGTGACATCTATACTTGGTTTAATGAAACATGTTCTTCTATATCGAAAGTTACGATATATCGATTGTATATACGTTCTTTAAACTATGAAAATTTGGTTGTCTTTAGTCCTAAGAGAATCAATCGAAGAGGAGGATTTGTTTAAGGTTAAAAAATTTAAAAGAAAAAAAAAATTAAAATCAAATGTATTTAAATATAAATATCTTATAGTAATATAATTCATTAATAAATATTAGTTAAAATACTAAATTATTTCAACAAAAAAATATAATAATGTAATAATATAATATTATAAATATTGAGATTAATAAGATATTGTTCTTGTAAAATATAATTCAAACATAATTTAAACATTAAAAAGAATAGTGAAATTCTTAAGTTCATTTTATATATTATTAATATAATTAATTTGAGTAAAAAATTTTATTAATAAAATGCATGAAAATATATATTTTGCAATGCAAATGTAATTTGGACAAACTGAAAAGTAATGTTTATTTTTCTTTGATATTATATATGTCATTTTTTAATAATGATTTTAGATAATTTTATATAACTTCTAATAAATATATTAGAAAAGAATTATATATTAAGAAAAAAGATATCTTTTTAATTTATTATAATGGATGACGTATATAGACTTTATAATAAGACTGCATCACCAAAAGTGGATATAAAAGAATATTTTGATAATTATAAAAAACTAGTAGCTGATTATTTTATATCCATGAAAAAAGATAAAGATAATTTTATGTCAATGATGGGAGTTGAACTTGCAGAAGAAGAATTATCTATGTTAACAAATTATTGCAGGTTCCTTATCAATTTTAAATTTTAATTTTTTTAAATCATTCTGTAATAATATTAAAAATTTATTTTTAGCATTGATAATTTAACAGTGGAAGGAGAAGCTCCAAAATTAGCCAATATTAGAAAAATGAGGAAAAAAGATATATTTGATGCTCAAGAACCAGAAGATGTAGATTTACAAACAATTCAAAAACTAAGACAAAGATTAAAACAACAAACTAAACGACTTCAATATAAATACCAAAGTGAATTATTCATAGTAAGTATTTAATTTAAAATGAAAAGAATATATATCATATATAATTTTTATTTTTTAGAATCATACCAAAAAGGAAGGAACATATGAGACATATGCTGTTCCTGGCCAAGATATTCTTGTTTTTGTTAGAATCTATCATCCTTTTGCACAAAAAGCAAGAAATGCACCAAGAAAAGAATGTGGATCATTACGTCGATTAAATAATGTTATAGCTGTTTTAGGCTCTCAAACACTTGCTCAATTAAGAGATAAAATATCTTGCATTGCTGATTATAGTATCTCTAAAGAATGTAGTGAGAATTTGGACAATGCAGTAGGACCTATGGCAAAAGTAACTTATTTTGTTTAATACATTATACAATGTTTAATATATTAATTGTTTCTATATATTTGTAATTTAAAATACTTTTTATTATATTAGGAGTATTACAAATCAGGATTCTTTTTTATCGAAGACACTTTTTATAATGATATGAGATGTTCAACAAATATTGATTATAGTGCAGTAATTATTGATTGGGCACAAAGAAGGCCAAGATTAGGACCTTTCAAAGTTGCTACAATGGAAGATTGTAGAATAGATTCATTATGTTTAAGATTTGGTTTTCCATGGCTGTACAAGCATCAAGGTGGTTGTGAACATTTAATTGTGTTTAGTGATGCTAGGTAATTTAAATGCATTATATATAAACTATTTTTTTTTTTTTAATAAAATTACTTATTTTTACCTTTTTTTTATGTAATCATGTTATAGATTGATTAACTGCAATGATGAATTAGCAATATCTGCATATCCACAAATAGTCAGATTAAGACCTATGTCTTCCAAATTTTGCATGATATGTGGTGTATATAATGCACAATGGATTACTATGAAACATGAAAGAATACCACATAATCCTTGTTATTTCTGTGATAGCTGTTTTAAATCTTACAATTATATTGATGGTAAAAAAGTAGGGAATTTCGAAGCATATGCATATCCACGGAATATTGAAGCCGTAAAAGGAAAAATAGATATATAAATGTACCAAATTCTATTTTTTATATTAAAAAATAAGTTACTTTATTGAAGATTTCAAAGAGTATAATTTTCTCAAATTTTCATTTGCACTATTTAGTTTTGGTTTAATTTCTAATGCTCTTTTGTACATATTTTCTGCTTCATCAAATTTATTCCATCTGTGATACAATACACCTAGATTCGTATAAAACATTGCATCTTTAGGATTTCTTGATATTGCATTTTTAAAATATATTTCAGCCTCTACAAAATTTCCTACTTTTCCTAATATATTTGCAATATTAAAATAAATAGATGCGTCATTTGGTAAATATTGTAAAGCTTGATTTGCTATTTTAAGTGCATCTTCACGCATACCTATAAAAAGATATTTATTTATATATAAAATATGTATAAAATATATAATATCGCGATAGAAACAATTTTTTAATACCTAAATCATCAAGAAGTAATATCATATTGGTCCATGCTCTCTTATGTGTATTTCTTTGCTTAATAGCAGAATCCCAAGCTTTTAATGCTTTATCATAATCTTTTTGTTCTAAATACTATAAATATATTCATTTAGAAATTATGTACATTTTTTTTTTAAGTTCAAATTATCCTTTTATTACTAACCAGCACACCCAAATTATAAAGACAATCAGGATATTTGTTTCTATGAGTCAAAGCAGTTAAATAACTTTTTTCCGATTCTTCATATTTTTTTAATGCCGACAAAACAATGCCTAAGTTCATCCAAGCAGTGGCAAAATCTTCCCTAAAATTTACAACTTGTAATTCTAAGTAGAAAAATTTTGATAGAATTAAAATTTTTCATCACTTAGTATTTTAAATAATTAAATACAATTAGACTTACTGTAATTCAATAGCTTTTTTAAACAATATCTCTGCTTCTAAATATTTTTCTTGATCTTTAAGTAAATTTCCAAGATTGTTCATAGCTTGAGCATATGTAGGATTTAATCTATTTAATAAATATAAAAATCATTATTTTGCTCTAGATTTTATTTTTATAAAATCTTACCTTAAAGCTTCCTGATATTCATATTGTGCTAATGTAGAGTTTCCAGCATCAGCAGCATTTTTTGCAATATTATAATGTACTTTTGCATTTAATGGACATACACTTAATGCTGATTGAAATAATGTGGTTTCAGTTCTCCATTGGTCACTTCTTATCCATGATTTCACAAAAAATAATGAAATTAAAGTTATATATGCTAATAGTAAATATTGCATAGGAATATGATTGCAAAGTTTTTGTAATCCTATAATAAGTAAAAGACAATAACCAGCAGAAGGAATGTATAATGTTCTTTCTGCTAAAACGAAACCAACATTAAAAAAAATATTACTAGCTGGTAGAAATGGAATAACAAGCATTGTCAGTCCCATAATTAAACATCTGTAATACAAAAAGCGATAATTTTCTTACATTACTTTATCATTTCATAAATTTATGAAATATATAATTACCTTAAAAATTTGTCTTGATAAGAACTAAAACTATATATGAACATTGCACTAAGTATTAGCCAGAATAAAAGAACAAAAATTATTCTTTTATCATTAGAATTAATTAAAGGTACACAGCCCATTGACCAATCAAAACACAGCCATTCAGGACATATTAGTAACCATATATTCAAACAATAAATATAACTATAATTTAACATTCGTAGAAATATATTGGGCATAAATGATGCTGGATTATCTACAGGTTGAAAAATTGGGGCTTTAAATCCCATTATACTGAATCTTAAGATTATAAGTATTAAACCAGATGTAAAAAGTATAAAAAGTCTAATTAGCAATTTCTGCTTTTGTTTAATAAAAGTTTTTACTTGCTCATAAGAAGGTTTTGATACTAAGAATAAAATTATATTATATGGAAATATTTTGTTCACTATTATAATATCATATACACAACAAATTCCCTAAAAAAAAAAAAAGAAAAATATACAATTATATATATATAATTAATAATACATTTTCATATTTATTAAAAGAAAAATTATTTTATACCATTGCGGTAATTCCTGTTTCTTTGCACAACATTGCAATTGCAATAAATATGATACAATTAAACATACTGAGCCATCTGTATAATAATCTTCTTGCATAGATTGAATAATAATAACATATAATAGATATCCACATAAATATAGCACATAATAATTCTGCCCGGCCTACAATACCTGAAACCTATGTATTTATTTGAATTAAAGGAATAAAAGTGATTTTTTTCTTTAAAAATAAATGAATGCAATTAAAATTACATACAGCTTCTGTGTGCACTGGATGAACAGCAAACAATGCAGTAGCATAAAATGCAGTTCTTTTTTCTTTTGAGTCTAAAAGTATATTAAATACTGGTAACAATAACATGGAAACAATAGCATGAAGTATTATATTTACTATATGAAAATCTTGAGCTATCATACTTTCACGAAGCCAAAAATGTAATCTACAAATAATTTGTTTAAAAGGAAAAGAATATTTAAACATATTTTTTTTCTATCTAAAAAAAAAAAAGAAAATTACCTAAAAGATAAAATTGTAAATGGTCTATATGATTTATGACTTTGTTTATGGGTCAGTTTTGTACCCCAAAAATCGTTTTTAAATATATCTATTAAAGGAGTAGTTTGTATATCTTCATTATGTACAATAGCTTCAGAATCATCAAATACAAATTTACCATTGTAACTATTAATAAAACATAGAGATAATACAGCAATTATAATTAAGGAAAATAATGATGAAACTTCTGTAATAAAAATATTATTAATGATAATTAATATATAAGTAAATATGATATTATAAGAATATTTTAATTCACCTGGTAATTTCGTTTTTAATAACATTTTTTTATCCAATCACAGAATGTATGTAATTTTTTATATATATATATTTTATACAATATAATTTTTTTGTCATGAATGAAATATAAGCACAATTGTAATATAGTTGTAATATAGTTACATTGAATTTTTAAATTTAGAAAAAAGCATTAAAGTTGTTGAATATTTTTTTATATGATTTTATAGATTTTGATTTGCAATTTCAAATAATTAAAGTTTATTTTAATTGTTGAAATTCAGTAACTCGAAAATTATTTCACATTTTAAAATTAAGTTATAATTATTATTTTTTAATTTTAGGAAACTGAAAAAAATATAGTATCTGCGCCGATATTATCATCTTGATGTACGTTATAATATTAGATGAGATATTCTGTATAAAACAAATGTATATAAAAAATACATATGAAAATAAAATATATATATAAAATATGTATATGATATATAAAAACACAAAGAACAGAGAAGGACAGAGATAGAGTAAAAATATGAAAATCAGCGCCATCTCTAGAGTGCCGCAAATTAAACACAAATTAAACAAAGAAAGAAAATATTAAGAGAAGGATAGAGAGATTAGAACTTAACCACTAGTGCCATCTTTTCGAAAAATGTTCAAGCTTGTCATATTATTATCGACAGGAAAAATAAATGTGTTTTTAACAAGTGGCGCCATCTTTTTGAGAACTTTGAAACTTTATCGCTTGGTATGCATAAAGAGTTTCAACATTTTTTAAAGAGATGGCGCCACTAATCAAAGACTATTAAGAAGTTTACTTTATTATCAGTAATAATGTATGACAAGCTTGGGCATTTCTCGAAGAGATGGCGTTACTCATATTGTTATCGACAGTAAAATAAACGTGTTTTTAACTAATGGCGCCATCTCTTAAAGAAATTTTGAAACTTTATTGTTGATATGTACAAAGAGTTTTAACGTTTTTTAAATAGATGGCGCCACTAACTAAAGACTAAAAAAAGAAGTTTACTTTATTATCAGTAATAATAGTGCAACAAGTTTGAGCACTTTTCGAAGAGATGGCACAACCGGTCAAATCCTAATCTTTCTATCCTTCTCTTCATATCTTCTTTCCTTGTTTATATTGTGTTTAATCTGCGGCACTCTAGAGATGGCGCTGATTTCCACATTTTTACACTATCTCTATCCTTCTCTAAATATTTATTCTCTTTGTCTATCTCTATCCTTCTCCCAATATTTATTCTCTTTGTCTATGTTTGCTCTGCAGTTTACATGTTCAAGAAATAATTCTGATATCTGATTAATTTTATCTTTATTGCTTGAACTATTGATTAAAAATTACAAATTAATAAAGTTTATTGAATCCAATTTTTATATATCGTACGTATATACATTTCATATATATTCATTTTTTTTATATTTAAATGTCATATATATATTTTTTATATACATATTTATACATCATGGATAGTATATATTATTTTACATATAAATATTTTTATATGTATATTTTATATGTATTTTTATATGTATATAAATATTTTTATTTAAATTTCACATTAGTACTTCTATTTTATTTATAACAAAAATTATACTGTATAATTTATAAATATAATAATTTATATTCTTTGATTGAATAATTTAAGTCAAAAATGTTATTAAAAAGGAAAGAAAATAAAAACTCTATTCAAGATAATTTTTACCATTCATTTTTATTAACTTGCAAAATTACCTTAATTGTCTACTCATGCACAGATAAAATATATAAATAAAAATGTAGGGTAAATAGTAACGTGAGTCTAATTATCGAGACTGTCTAAGCTCGCGTTTGCGAAATTAAACCATAAATTCGATTTTTTCATGAAAAAAAAGGATATATATAATAATCGTTCCTTTTTCTTTCTCCGAAAAAAATACGAAATCATGGAGAGACGGCGCTCGATTTAAGAAATCACGTAACAGATTTCTAGAACAGTGATAAACCTATCATAAATATAACAATCGAAAACATGGCCAAATGCAATGACGAATAATAACATAATCAGACGTCTCTCTCGTCTAATTTTCATTCAATAGAAATTCGATGCGCATTACATTGTCACAACGAAATTTTACCAAGTGATATGCACATATATATACATATACATATATGTATATATATATATATTAAAAAAATTATAAGCTATATAAAAGATATATAGTGTAAGTGTTAATAGTTACATCTTTGGACAGTCAACAAAAGCGATCACTCGCGAAAAAACCATTCTCTTGATGCGATAACGCAATGGAGAAATTAAATAACTTTAAACATCAATCTTTTATTTGGAAAGCTCTATTAAAAATTAATTAAATTAAATAACTTTAAATATCAACCTTTTATTTGGAGAGTTTTATTTATAATTTAATCATTTCTTGAATTTATTTGCATTCTTAAAAATACAATTGAAAGTTTTAAATCTTCTTTTTCATTAAAAATAACCTGTCTTTTTTAATGATAAAATATCGAATGATATGAACTTAAATAAATTACCAAATAAAAGGTTATTTATCCTTAAAAAATATTGCGACGAAATTCTTGAATTCGATTTGAATTCGATTGTAAGAGATTTTCCTATCGAATAACTATTTCATTATCATTTTATTCATTTCTTTTTGCTAATTGTGAAAATTCATCGACGTAAAGGAACATATATTTTTAATATTGAGACATGATAAACACGAATTTTTGATTAGACAGTTTAAAAAGCGATTCTTAAAACAACTAATTTACATAATCAAGTGAACAGATATGTAACAGCAATAAGAATAATTTAACTATATTTTAAAAATATCGATCCGAGCATTATCTCTTTTAATGCAAATATTTAAGTATAGAACATTCAATCATTCCATGCGATTTTCGATATGTATTTATTATCATTGAATTATTTATGAATTTATTTTGGTAAATTCTTCTTTTTTCTAGAATTTCTCCAAGCTTAATATTGAAAGTGATTATTTGTAGTATGGTCCAGGATTAAATATCCTTTACGACAAAGAATTTTTCACCAATGCAATTTACATTGTTTGCAATTTAACACTGTTTAATTAACAAATAACACGAAATAGATCTAAAATTAACTCGCCATCTCACACGTGGTCTTCATTATGTGAATTATAGCACACATTTCGACTAGAGTATATTATTATATATATACGTCGTTAAAATAAATCTCGAAGACGAAATTAATATATACATTCCAGCAGTCTTGACGGCTCAAGCGGATTCTTGTAAATCAATTGTACCCTATATTTCTCGGAGTACTTTCATTTTTATCAATTAAAAATAACAATATACCAGTCGTATAATTATTATTTAATGAAATAACAAGTCGTAGAATTCACGCAGAAATAAAATCTGATGAGCAATTAATGTAACAATAACAATTAAAACGTATATAAGAGATATTTAAAAATAAGAGGGTACAACTTCTGATCTTCAATGTTGTAACTTAGATTAAGTCGAACCGCGTTTTAAGAGTCCTTTGCTGTGGCAGTAGACACTTTCAACAAAATCTCATCACACGCTCTTCAACAATCGTCTAGAAACGCATACGTTCTTCATGGTGTTTTCCCAACGAAAAGGAATCTAAAAATAGGATCTCCTTGCATTTATCATCGGAGACTTACATTACTTTAAACCACAATAATTTCTTAATAACAAGTTAAAAATTACATAAAATCTCGATCAAAGTAATTAAAAAAAAAAAAAAAAAAAAGAGGAAGAAGAAAAACAATGATATTCAGAATGCATCGTTTTGAGGAGAACACTATAAAGCTTTAACTTATAAAAAATTATGTCCATTCGTCCAACACTTAAAGGAAATTTCACAAAATCCCTTTGAATCTCGAAACAAATGTCACTTAGTTGGAAAGAACAACGTTTCATCATTTATAGCAGCATCTGCGTTCATAGTTTCTTTGTTTCTTCATTTTCCTTTGTACCTTCGTATTAAAGGTAATGGAACACGTCTCATCTTTGGCTTGTTTTCATCATTTTATAAGAAATTACCTGCAAACACGTGGAAAAGAAACAGCAATCATAGATCATAGTCTGCAACGTTCGAAAAACATACACTTCATTTTATGAATATTATAATGGATCGAATTGGAAGAATACTTTACTGATACAATCTCACTCGATCCTTTGAACGTTTCTTGCGTGCAATATTTTGCGTACAGTGTAACACTATGACTTACAAGATGATTACATAGGGTAATAACACCCCTTACTCGCAAATCCAACGATTATGAATCTTTTGACACGCAATTTCCATTTGTTGCAGCCTCGAAGTTTTCTTTTAGAGAAACATGTTCTTACAAATAATTTAATTTTTTCTTTTTCTTTTCTTTTTCTTTTTTTTTTTTTAAGATTAAAAAATAACTTCTTTTGAATTAAAAGAAAATAATTTGTCAAAATGATTAACTGATTGAATTTTTTTTAAATTTCTAGAACTATTTTTAATCGATTTTCTTATAAATGGCTGCAGCAATTGAAAGACTCGCATTTTTTTCAAGTGATTTTCTCGCATTAAGTAAAAATAAGAATTCGTGATTTACTGTCTATTTACAACGTGAAGTACACAATATGTATATCATAAAGAGATTGAACAATGACGCTTGCTTATCACACATCGTCGTGCCGTGGCCTGAATCTTCTTCTCGACTACTATTCATAGTTACGGATCGATTCGGTGATATCAAAGCTTCTCTGCTTCAAAGAGAATCCTATGATATTTTCCTTTTGTTATTTTTTTTTTTTTAGCTCAAACAATTAAAAATTGTTTAATATTTAAAAAACATCCAAAGTTCTATTTCATCGATATCTTTTTAAAGTAATACTTAAATATAAGATAGAATATCTTAATTATTCTTGAATGTTTTTGTACTTTAAAGAAGTCACTCAGACTAGATCACCGAATGGATTCGTATTGAATAATTCGCCGAGAAACATTTTATCATAATATACGACTGTTCACAAAAAGATTACACGACACTCTTACTATATAGAAAACAACTACGCATTTAAACTACTAAATTCCGTCTAGAGATAATTTCCCTCTTTCTTTGCTTTCTCTTTCCGAATAACGTTCAACTTTCCCTTATTCAATTATCACTCTCAGCATAATCGTCGCTATCACCACTGTCATAATATTGGTTCTTCGACTGCTGATGAATAGAGTCCAATGGATTAATTGTAGATATATCATCAGAATATCCTTTAAACTGGATATCTGTACCTTGAACCATGTCCACGGATTCACCATCCAGAATCTCCAAATTTGGAGAAAACGCATCCTCCGATATGGAATCGTTTGGCCTGAGGAAAAAATATATATTTTTTATTTTTGCGTTAAATAAAATTTTTATTTTTCATAGATCAAAAATGATATGTAAACTATAGAAGGTTCAACTACAATATTCTACAATATAACGTAAGATTCAATTAGTTGATTAAAAATAATGCAAATTATGATCATATTTTAGTAAAAGCGAAAACAATAATCCTAAAAAGCAATAAATTTAAAAAAGTATTTGAAATTCAAACTTTAATTCTTGCTGTTGGTATAAATATATAACGAGCATTTTGTGTTTATGAATGTTTTTTTTTTTCGATCAGCAATTTATCATACTAAAAATTTATGATTTTTAACGATCAATTTGAGCAATTTAAAATTTAAATGATATGTTGACGACACGAAAAATAAAAAAAAAAAAAAAAAAAAAAAAAGAGATGGAACAAAAAAACAAGCAGTTAGCCGACTTTCTAATTAATAAATTATGCATACACGAGCATCGTGCATAACTATATATCATGCAGTTCTGGTTTCATTTACTTACTGAGCTGTAGATGATGGTTACATTTCATCATCACACAGCCTGCAACAAAACGCATAGATCGTACCATTACGGTCATAGTACAAGGTGAAATTGTTAGATCAGCGGGGCATACTGTCTATCTAATGACAATGCATGCCACAATTCGAAAGCTATAACTTCCGTTTCATAGCTCGAAATAGCGAATAGAACTTTCTATGAGAACTATAAAACGGGTTCATCTGTATGTTTTGCATAATAATATACAATATTTTTTAATTTCTTATTCTTATTTTTCAAAGTAATCCTCGATTGATTATATATAAAATAAAATTTTTATCTCAATTTACTAAGTATTAAACAATGATTAATACATTGATGCGTAACATATATATCAACGTTAATAAGTGATAGTAAGAACAATATTCATATACTGATTATATGGCATGAACCATGTGCAATATAAATTACGTGAAATCAATTACTTACATTTGTTCATTTTGTTCGTTACCACTCTCTTCGGTGACCAACAATTCGTACTCCTCTGCTGCGAATCGGTCCCAATCTGACAGCTGTTACAAATGAAATAAAAAAAAAAAAAAAAAAACGTAACGATAACGGATATCAGTAAAATGCTCAGTAACAACAACTGCTTTTCCTGTTAAATCTACTTGTTTCTGATAATTTCTAAAGCTCTTTACCTCGTGACCATCAGGGTCATGTTCTCTTGCAGATGCAAAGGGATCTCTCTGCTCGTGATCCAGGTACTTTTCGAGGTTGAAGAACGTGTCAAAGAAGATTGAAGTCATTTTACACTTTTTCAAGTCGCTTAGGGATATTTTTCCTGATTTTTCCGGCTTGATCATATCTAACATCTATACAAAATCATATAAAACATACTTCAATGGACGAAACAATAGAATGAATACATAATATATAAAATATTTAATATTCTAACACGACTTGCCTGACAAAGGCAATCCTCGAAAGGTAACGTCTCCAATCCAATCGCCTCCATACGATGCAATTGTTCTTCGTAAAAATATTCCAATTCGTACATCGACAAATATCCATCACCATCGAGATCCATGCACCTATTGACCATCCAAAATGAACCATATGTAATCATCCACCCAATATACGTAATCTTAAACGCTTCGCATTATACCTGAACCAATATTCAATAGCGGTCGGATGATTTTTATCCTCTTCGCTTAACAAGAACCACACGAATTCCGTGTAACTCATTTTATCCTGAGATTGTTGAACGCCGTTTCCGCTTTTCACGCCACCCCTCGTCACTGCACCACTGAATATTCTCGCGATCATACGTTTGGAAAGAGCTAGAACACGCTCGAGTTGAAAAATGAATTTCCTTGTAACGAAATTTACACGGAATATTGTAAAGGAAAATATATATATTTTTTTTTTCTTACCGTGATCATTATGTTTTGTGAGATCTGTCTTGTCGATGAAAAGATCATGATCACGATCTAGCTCCCAGAACTTGCAGTAGATCACATAGAAATGCTCGTAGCTGAAGTAAGCTGTTACTTGATTGATGTCTTCCTCGTGCTCGAGGATCGCGATCACCGAGAGCAGATTGCTTCTTCGCAACTCCGCCACGGAAATCCTTCCGCTCCAACTTCGATTCACGCAATAAAATATCCTAGCGATCACCTGGACAGAATGAATATTCATCAAAATCATCAATTAAGAACTTTAAATATAAACTTCATCGTGTTAACTGCCTTCTCAATATTGAATGTACAAATGTACAATTCGTGTAAATACGGAAGCCAGTTTAACTGAGAAAAAAGAACGGAAGAATTCTACTGTTAAATGGTCAATATCGTATAAAATACTCGTCGACTCGTTAAAATGATTTTCCAATGAGTGAGAAGAGCGCGTGTGATAATTGCTCGAGGCGAGCACGATCACGTTGAATAATTCAAGACGATTCACGTTGCGTAAATCGTATGGTCAATTCTCTGTGGAATCTTTTTTCTTTTCTCTCTCTCTCTCTCTCTCTCTATACATATATATATATCCTTGTCTTGAAAACGAGAGAAATATCCAGCAAATATTTATCGCGCGAATACGAACCGTGTGTACGTAGCGTGAATGGAACTCAGTAGCCTCTTTGAGAAAAGTTAAACCGGGATGGGTCTCGACTACGTCTTGTACCAGGGGGATCAAATCCTCCGGCAGTATATTGTTCCTCTGGCCCCGGGTTGTGATTCGAATAAACTTGCTCGCCGCGTCGTGGTGGGTGTTCGATATTCTGCAAACAGTCAACCCCACAATAATCGTTAAACTGATGGAATATAAAGAAGAAATTGAGAATTAAAATTAGAACCGTCTGATCCTAAAATAAATCTTGATTTATTCGTGTATCGAATCGTACGTGAAGGGAACGTTCGTGAATTTGAAGAATATACGTTATAATAAGCTTATATTCGTTGCTTACTCTTCTTTCCAAAATTCAAGGAACGCGTTCATCTCAACGTAGCCTGTCTGATCTCCGCCAGCCGCGAGGAAAAGCGGCACTTTCCAATAGAGCGGCAAGTCGCATGCCTGCAAGACAAATCATACGCTTTTGTATACTATACAGCTGTTCCATCAATGGAACGTTGAAGTTTGAACGAGTTTCCCACGTGAATAACCCACGAGAGAATAATCGAACGGTCAAGATCAAATCTTGGAGAGAAAAATATAGTTTAGTATACCTTCGTAATTGTGTGAAATTGGGCTCGGGACGCACGATGGCCGGGAAGAGCTTGAAAAGCGGCGGTGATCCTCGCGATAGTTGCCTCCACTTGCGATAACGGCAAAGGTTTTCCTCCGGGAAAGTAAAATCTGCAAACGACCAATAGATATTTCGCGTTTATCGGTGTTTGCTCGATTAATACCAACAGTGTTGTATCGGTATATACGGTTTGGATCAACGTTTACCGTGGTATGTGAACGTTTCTGTTCGCTTTCACGTGCCTCTGGAGTGTCGTGTGCGGTGGCAAGCTCTTTTGCTGTGTCTTGTCTTTCGCGTACGTCTAGAACCAACAAGCATCGTTCCGGGGAAACTGATTGGATCCGTGAAAAATGGCAAAATCGCAACCACGAACGTTTCTCCGTGCACGATCGTGGTGTGGATTCGTGTGTGGTTGCAATTTTGCACCGCTCGATTCGAACATGATAATAATATTCGCGAACGGAATTACAATTACAAGTTATAATTATTGGTAAAACACAAATACTCGTAAAATAAATTCTTGGAAGGTATTGGAGGAAAAGTTTTATTTATTTCCTCTGTGTTTAATTCTTCTCGTTACATAAGTACGTTTTATCGCGTTACAAACAAAGGACACCACGGCGAGCCACGATCCTGATCTCATTATATTGTTCGTGCTTCCGGTTACGAGAAATCGATGAGGTTCTCAAAGGTGGCTAATCGATCGCCTCGACGATATAGGAATAATTTTACGCTTCTTCGAAAGCGAAGGTATCGGCGAACCAAGGACGCGACATCCTGTTACGCGACGCCAAGGATCCGAAGAATGCAAAGAGGCCGGCCAACGCGGCTAATGCATCGCCTCGCCCATGTGACTATGATTACATCACGAGCCACTTTTACGCGTTGTTGTTTCCAACATCATGGTCACGGGACGAGGAGGATATTTCCACGTGCTGAGTGTTCATCGATCGATCTTTTTTTTTTTTTTTTCTTTTCTTTCTTTTTTTCCTTCGACGAAGAAAGAACGAAGAAAATTTCTAAAAGTGTGTTTCTTCTTTTTTATTCAACCACAAAGAAATCGGGAAGAAAAGGTGTCAATGATCGCCAGAAATAAGGGAAAGGCTAACGACAGCAACGGTAATAATAGACGAGAGAAAAAAAAATACTGTACGTATATAATAAAAATAGCGGTAGAGCTTCTTCGATGAAATCCGTTTAAGAAAAGATCAATAATGCATGCCGTTCAGCGCGGTAAAAATAAGACAACGTCCACTCGAATAACCAAACGATAATCGTCGATATCCTCGGGTCGAATAAATCTAACGTGAAAAACTCGATTCTTCGATGAAATTTAACGAGAAGAATGAAAGTAAAATAGAAAGAGAGAAGAACTTACATTACTGCAATATAATACGCGTATACACGCGGGAATCGAGTAGGTTGCGATCATCATCAAGATGCGAATCATCGTGCAAATGCCGGAACAGATCACGTTTAGCTCCCGTGACATTGGGATAGATTAGGCAAAATGGTCGAAACAATTATTACGGCCTCATGTTTGGCACGGTCCACTGCGTGACACACGGGATACCGTCAATCAACGTTCCAATTGACATAGCAAATTCGACTGCACCTCTCGATCGAGCCCTTCGAGCTCTGCCAATCGGCCAAGGATCGTTCGTTTCCGACACCGAATACTTGACCTTCGCCGTTCGATCGAACCTTCGATATTTTCATTCAATTTTATTCCTAACTTTGAACCTTCATGGTAGCTCCGTTCATTCGAAGCGGGACGCTAAAGTCCGTAAACATATTTTAAATTAATTGGAATCGCGATGGAAGTGGCATTTCATCGAGGGCCTGATTCAATCGGATGTTCTTGCGGGGGTTGAAGGGAAGCGTAGAGATGCGGCAGAAAGCGAATCTAATTCATCGATTGGATCCATCGAGACCTCTATACAGTATTACGCAGAATAAGTTTGTTTTACGCTTTTAACGTTTAAAATATGCGAAAAAAAATTCATGAATATTTATACGAGGGAAAAAAAATCCATGAATATTTAAATTTAAATGTAAATATTTACGTTTAAACTTTTCGAACTTGAATATTTGAATTTTACTCGATACCTGCACATCGTTCAAGAACATCGAATACCAGATCGTTTCCTTCCTGGTTCCTATTATTCTAACGACTCTTACGTAGCCGGTCGCGGATTAACTTTCCTGGCCGGGGGACCGCTTTTCAGCCATAAGCGGCGTTACACTCGGCTTCAAGGCGACTGTCGACGGCCTTTTGAAATCTAGCGCTCATATCCAATAAGGAGCTGGCACAATGAGTCAGTCAGCGGTCGCAGATATTCGCCGGCAAGATTTCTCGCCGTTCGAATCCGCGATCGAACTCTTTTCCTATTTTTCTGCCGCCTCGAGATCACGCGCCGCGTGCGTCTTCGCGTTCTTCCATACGGGGGATATGGACACAACACCGCAAGACGCAACGCGCGCGTCTTTTCCAATAGAAATTTTTTAATTACCCGATACCTGGAACGTTGCCTGGTCGCACGCTCATCGTCAACGTCTCGACCCGTCCTTCTATCATCATATCGTTGATTCAATGAATCCCTCGCGGTGATTTCGAACGGTATTCCGGCAATTCTATGGCAAACACGATCCAACTATATCCCCGAACTACCGCCGTTTGCTCGGTAATGAACAAAGCGTATGGAGCACGGACCACCCTGAACGAATAAACAACACCGACGTAACATCGTATTGCCTCGAGTATTATTTAACCAACGGTAACGACGATAAGCTGGCCCCGGGAGCTGTCCGTTTCCACTTATGGCCATGGTGGTCCACTTTATTTCTCTCCTCGAGGTCGAATAACATTTAATCGTAACGAAAACCGAGCACATGACTCAGCTGCGACCAAACAAACGACGGACACGCCGCGTTTCTACTCTACGTCGATTAAATTAATCGAGCTCCTCTCCTCCTCGCCGCCTATAACAGCGCCTTTTCTCCTTCGAGATCTTGTCCATTTTTCTCTCGCCCTCTCTCTTTGAACGATTAAAATTGACGGGAACAGAGCGGTTCGCCGAGAGGGAAAGAGGGATTCAGTACGCAGTGCCAAGGATAAGAAAATAATCCGACGTTGGTCAACAAACGCCATCGATTTCTGGATACATCGGTTTTCACAGTTAGTTGCTTCTTTTTTCTTCTTCTTCTTCTTTCTTTTTCTTTTCCCCTCCCTCCCAACAGACGAATTTCGTTGAACCTTTCCTTTACGTCTATTGACGATGCACCGCGCGAGCGCAAAATCGCTACAGCCTCTACCCGTTGCATCCATAAATATCTACGTGTTTCTCACTTATTCCACGTACGCTGGAATTCGAGGAATCTTATTGTTTCCATTCGTTCGTATCGTTCGTTGCAACGACGAATCGAGCGAGGGGATTGGTATCAATTTTCTAGAAATCAGCTCGATAATTATCTCGAGTTAATTCGAAAAGCCAATTCCATTGCTAAATACGTATAGGAAAGGAATGTCTTTGAGCGAATCCAAGGTTGATATCAAAGCATAGTGAGAACGTAATAACCGTTTAATAACAATGGCATAGCCAAGCCCCTCGGGCCACGTGCATTGTTCCAGCGCTCAGCACCGCCATATTGGAGAACCCGAGGCCTATCAACGGTATTATAGATCAAGATTGACTACCGAAAGGGAACTCGTTCAGATTAAGATCGGTGATTTCGAGAGATTAAATTAAATTAGGGGAAAAAAAAAAAAAAAAGAAAAAAGATCGATGAGAATTAGCGGAGAGATTAAAGGATCGGGACGATCGATGGATACGCTCGAAACAATTATACCTATGCTCGACTAGGAAAAGCCAGGGCGATAACAGTTTTTGGCAGGCAACCGTGCCAGGTATAATCCTCCTTTTTTTGGCCCTGATCCAGACCAGCTTTGTAACTCCCGAGAACTATTCTTTCTTAATCGTTTCGATCGATTTAAATTCGTGTTTCTTACTAATTTTCGAATGACGCGTCTTCCGAGAAGACGTAGTTTCAATAATTCGTAAGAAAGATATTTATTTTAGAAGAATCGTTTGAAAGTGATCGAGTAATAATACGAGATGTTTAATCACGATTTCGCGAGGTCTTTGATACCTCAACACTGTTTATATCTTCAGAGTATAATTTCACGTATGTTTCAATTCATTAATATCAACCGTGTTCAAACGGATTCAGAAAAAAAAAACCAAAGAAAATTGCACAAGCTCGATAACGAAGAAGAATAGAAGAAGAGGCTTGCGGATAAAGGCATGCAGAAACGACCTCTACGCGAAGAGATCTTGAACTCGTTTCGAGACAAAAGTGCAGGAGTCGACCGGTCGAACATCCTCCCAGGGAAGGAGGAATTTGGACGCCGACCAAAACGCCCGATATAAGCCATCCAGAGTGGCGAGAACATACGAGAGAAGACACGTCTTCCCGATCGTCGTGGAAGTTCTCGAGGTACAGTCTCGTCCCGCCGAATTAACCATCTCTTCCAGGAAAACGTGGCTCGTCTTTCGTAGGATTTTCTTTACGCATCCACGTGTAAATGGATGTATAATTGCGCGGCCTTGTAAAAAGTTTTCGAACGGGTCTCCTCTCGATTTTCTAAACGGACCTCTTCTCGATCTTCCTCCGCTTCCGTGGATCGATTTTGTACTTTTTTTTTTATTTTTTTTGTGTATAAGAAAATATCTCTCTAACGTCAAGTTTTCAAAAACGTAAGGCAAAAGTTAAGAAAGAAACGATAATTGTGGATCGCGGTAAGCGATCGATTTACCTGAGCCTTGTTTTGAACCTCGTGTCCTGTTCTCCAAGTGTTGATGGCCGGTTGTCGTGGCCCTCGTTTGTCGAGCAACAGCTCGCTCGGGCACTTCTCGAAGATCAAAACGCGTTCAGCGACGGATCCCCTGGTTAAAAACGGTCTGATAGGATTGTTCCCGGTTCCAGTTGCGGCGGCGGCTCTAATATGCTGCTTCTGTTGGGTGGTCAATTCCGGATGAGGTACTTGCTCGATTCTTGGCCTTGGCGAATTGATTCTAGGGCCCCATCTAGACGTGACAGGATCCTTCTCCTCTTTACTCGCTTCCTTGTCCTTTTGTATCTCCGTTTCGAATTTGGACCTCGTGGTCGACACTAACTGCTCCGTGGAATTGAAACTGTTGTTGTTCGTTCTCTGCTCCTCCAACCTCTGTTGGGTCGGAGGATTTTGCTGAGCCGCTCTGTATCTGACTTTCGCGTAATCCACCACTGACATGTTGGACAGATCATCCTTGCTCAGAGATTTCGCGTCTGACGTTGCACTAGCGTTAGACGTTCCCGATGTCCCGGTGGACGTCACGTTGTTCACCATGGCAGCGGAAGCGGGGACCAGGCCCCCTCCATGATGATTGTGACCGATGATTATCGGTTTAACGGGCTCCACCTTCGGTTTCTCCCTCTTGATCGCGGGTTTCTGGCGAGTCAGAGGCACCGTCCTCTCCACGGGCTCCTCCGTGATCACCGAGCCCGTCTTCAGAGCGTTTATCAGTCTTTCCTCCTCGCGTGCAACCTCGTCCAGGTACGCGCTCGAATTAGAACCGCTGTTCCTCTTCTCCTCCTTGCTCGCCAACGATTTGCTTTCCTGTTGCGGTGATCTACAAGGATCCGTTATTCTTTTATTGTCGTTCAACTTGTTCTTCAGGGGCCAAGTGGTCAAGCCTGAATTCGTGGAAGAATCGTCGAGATTGGAGGAAGCGGTGGGAGAGGTGATCACCGTACTGGTTGGCCTCTTTTGCTGCACCACGATCTTCGAGGGCGTGATATCCGCGGGAAAAGTGGTCTCTATAGTTTCCAAAAATACTTCCCGATGATGCGCGCCCGGTGTTTTCGGGGAAACCTGAGGCTTCACTATCTGCGAAGGTTTGTTCGTGAACGGGGAAGTCGGGGACAAGAGAACGGTTCCTTGCTTCGCCTTCCCCTGACCGCCAACGTTACTGCTCTTCAAGGGAGAGGTCTGCGATTGTTGCTGTTGTTGCTGCATCGAGTTCTTCTCGAACTTCTCTAGCGCGAACTGTATCGACGAGGGTAGAGTCTTTGAGGGCGACCTCTGCCTCGACGCGGCTAACCTAGCTTTGTCCTCCACCACGAAATTGTTCACCAGCTTCTCCAAATTTCCGTTATCGAGATTCGGCGTTTGGCTCAGTATATCAACCGCCGCCGTGGCGGGTGTACCGCTCGTGGGCGAACTTTTCCCGGTATTGTTCGCGCTGTTCGACGCGGAACTCGGCGTGAGAGCGCTTCCGAACTTGTCCGCTGCCGTAGCATTGCTGTGACAGTTCAATATCTCGGTAGGGGCTAACCCACGGCTCTTCCAAGTCTGATAGATGGCCTCCGCGTGGTCGCTGATCTGTTTCGCGATCGCCGCGATGTCCTCGTCACCGGACGTCGAGGTGTCCGTCGGGAATTTCTGTCGCAGATCGTGCTTCGCGGTTGCCGCCATGCTTGGACAACGTTCCTGCTGCGTCTGCCGCTGCTGACGCAGCTGAGGATGGTGCTCAAGCAAGAAGCTCGCGGCACGTCTGCTCAACTCGGTCGAGTGGTCCAAGACGAGCTCGGCGAGCCGTGGATCGGTTCCCAGGGGGACCACGTTCACAGGGATCGCGTAACCGAAGTGAATCGCCTGGCAATCGACCTGGTCGCGGCCGGACCGAGACTCGTTCACCAAACAGGCGTTTAGATCTGGACAGTGGACGGCCCGACTGGGCCGAGGGTCGACGGTCACGGGTACGAAGAGGTCGCGTCGGGTCGCGCAGACCCGGCGCTCGATCGTCTCGATCTCTACCGCCAGCTGTCGGCCAGCGACACCCCCAGAACACCTCGATACCGCCGTTTCCGTTCTCAGCCTCGATGACGGTGAGGACGTGGATGACGATGACGAGGATGATATCGTTCTCGATGGTTCCGTGATTACGAGGTCTGTTGCTGCTGGCATATCTCAGGCCAGCTGGCCTAAGAATCTCGTTCTCCACGGCCACGACGGAAGCCGTGCCACTGACCACGCGATCCTCGCTCCCTCTGCGTGTCCCCCCATCGTCGAATTCCTTCTTATCGTTCCTCTTCTTTCTTTTTTTCTTTTTTTTTCAACGACCGATCCTTTCTTCCAACGTTCAAAAGCCGAGTATTATTTTAGCAGGCATCGAATACGAGGAGATCGTTGTTTGCTCTTGTAGAGATTCAAACTGCTCAACTGGTATTCAACGCGAGAGTAAGTGTTCACGTTCGGGGTACACTGTCAGCATTATATAGTTTAATTATAGATAAGTATGTCCACTGTTACCGCGGTGGTATTCGATTCTTGATGATCACGCGACGGTCGATCGAGCTACATCTTCGCGTTCCTCGATGTACACCACGAGCATCGGACACCGCGATCTGAAACAAGATAAATATAAATTAGTACTTATCCAACGTAGGTATATTTTCGAACGTGACCGCGTTTACGAGGTGAAACAGAAGAGATAGCATCCTACGAATCTCATCCTTTAGTCGTCGACACGATAGAACGTAATTAAAAATAATTTCTCTCGTATCATATTCCCCGATCTTACTCTTACTCTTACACTACGTTTAATAAAAATAATTATCACAATCGATGAGGGAATATATAATATATAATTATCCCTCCTTGTAATTATCCTTTCCCAAATTTCCCAACAACGTTGCTAAACTTCCCGCGAGAAGGATAAGAAACGTCCATCGGATCTTTGTACCAAGGCGACACGGTATCGGTACTTTCACCCTGCATTGCTACGCGTATGCAAATGCGTGCCGTGGGGGCCGTGACCAGGCGTGCGTGCACGGCTTCGATCGTGCTCGAATCGCTGCAAGCTACGCGCGTTATGCGTACCTCGCGTTCTCCCTCCCCTCCCGCCCTTTTCCACCATACCCTTAACCAGCAGAAAGGGGGAGGAGGGGGAAGAAAATTTGTATTCCCGGTGTGGATCTTTCTTTGTCTCCGACTGGACATCGTACGTTTGGCAACTAACCGACCATCATTCTTAAAACGTTATCCCGCATTCTGCCCCTGTGCCACGTTGTCAAAGACCTCGCTGGAATACGGAGAAAACGTCGGCGAAAGATATCCTAACGTACTCCTCCATGCTTTTACGTAAATCGTCGCGACAAGAATTCGTGCTTTCTATTTCCGTTGATGGAGGTCTTGTCCCTGTCACGTTCGTCTTTTCCGCCAAATCATTGTCACGCGTTCTCGACTTTCAATAATGAGAGACTTTCGATGGAAGATTGCAATATAAATTAAATTAAATTAATTCTTTCCTTTTAAATAATAATGATCGTACGATATGTTTCTTTGAGGACGCTCAACATTTTGATTTCTTTTTTAAATATTTTAATATTGATTTTTCGAGTTGTTATTATTGGAATAAATAAAGAGCGATAAATAATTGATAACGCATCGGTTCGAAGAGCACCAAGTGCGATCTACATATCTGCTAATATTATTAAAATATTCCATTGTCATTTTATCTATTTTTGTAGTATTCTAGTTTTGTATATATTCTTTAATGATTTCGTAAAGGAGTAAAATTTTCTTGATACAAGAGAACGTTTTTAAACTTTGCACAAGTATTTTAACAAGAATCAAAAAGAATAATAATAATAATAAATCGTAAATTCTACAAATGTGCAAAGTTTAAAAAAAATTGGAATGTTCAAAGTTCTCTTATTAATCGAATACTAGTTGTATCTTCTTATATTAGATTGGACGTACTATTCCTTTCAAAATTTATTTATGTTTCTTTAATCGACGACAACTTATCTTCGTCGAGTTCTGTCTTAAGTCTTAAGCTGTCGGTTGTGTTATTAGAGTTGGCCAATAAAGAAAATAGAGTTTATCTGTAAAATATTGTCGAAGCCTATCCTATAAATGTCAATGATCGCTTAACGATTCTCGCTACTTTCACTCGAATAAATTTCTTTTTTTTCTTTTTTTTTTTTTTTTTTTTTAGTCACATTTACCAAGTTTGCAAATATCTGCTCGTTATGTCGGGCACAAATATTTGTTTCTATAAATCACGAGCGCGCGCACGGATCCCGCGGTTCCTTCACCGAGCGCACGTGCGATAAGACGACGAAATAGTCTCGACGAGCCGCGTTTCGTTTCACGATCGAAGTTGAAGAACAAAGAATGTGTCTCGTAATCACCGTCATATATTTTCCTAACCTTCAGCTAGCTAAGATCCTAAAGATCGCAGTAGATACCACTCGGCATACTCTAAATATATCTAGGTGAGGTGACGCAATGACGAAAAGTATATAAATTCTTTACAGGAATATGATGTAACCTTCAAAAACGAATATTCTCATGAGCGGATTGTCTAATGTTTTGAAACATGTACGCGCATCCATGAACATTGCATCAATAAAAATAAAGTATATTTCCCTCGACCTGATTTCCGCCCACCATTTCGCGAAACGTGAATCAGCGACCTGTGCACAACAACCTTGCCTATTTCCTACCGATATCGCTCAAGCCTGTGTGATAACGGCACCACCTACTTTTTCCAATCCATCCAGAGACAACTAGAAAACAATATCGTAAACGATATTATTACTCCGTACACTGCTTAGAAACAAGATCATAAACAAGCGAACGTTATATTATCCGCCACTTCGAACCGGGACGCCCACGCGCGCCTCGTATCAATCCTTCTTTCGCCAATTCGTTCGAACGATTCGCGCGAAAAGATAGAACCGCCGATCATAGCCTTCCAACGACACGCGCAACCATTGAAAATTTTGTCGAATTTTGGATTCGACGTGTTCGACAAGAATGAGACACGAGTTCTCGGAGTGAACTCGATCGTTCCCTGGAACGGTTCCAAAAGAGGATCGAACTCGAACGATCGACAGTACGTACGACTGAGATCGGACATTGTCGAGTGATAAGTGTATACATCGCAACGGGCCGCGTGTGAGTTTGTCACGTAGCCGTGTGCACGCTTCGTTTCTACGTAGAAGGGACTCTCAACGTCGCATAACTCGGTCACGTTTGCGGTTTGCATCGTTAGAATACGATACGGCCCACTAAAAATAGCGGCCGAGCCAATATCGATACGCCGTAAACGGTGTCAATCCCGTGATCGGAACCATTGCAACTACACGGAACGTTGGGTTTCCGCGAGTATGCAATTATCTCGTGTTTTTTTTTTTTCCCCCTTTTTTATTTATATTCTCGTTCTTCCACGTAATTTTCATGAAAAATGAAAATGGACGGACGTTCGTTACTCGTCACGAATCAGAGAAGGATCGGTTATCATCGTTATTCTTGGGATGGAATTAAATTATAAGCGTTTAAAAGAAGATAGAGAAGCAGTTTGCAGAGAATGTTTTAATCGTGGTTGACTCTGATCACGGTGATCGTGAAATTGTTCGTAAATACAGTTATTCGTGAGAGTATATTAATTACTTTCCCTACAAACTCGATTAAAACGCATCGATGCGTTTCGAGCAAACCTTTAATTTGCTTATCATCGAGGGAAAAGTGGGACGATGCCGTGGAAAGAATACAGATCGAGATGTGATCGTGGAGAAGGAAATTAGTTCAGACAGTTTCACAGACCGAGACAAGAAAGGATGTCGTTATAAATAGTTTCTTAATGCGAAAGAGAAGGAAAAATCGATTTCAAGGATAGCCGTGTATTTTTCGCTGATATCAGGTCTATCGATTCCTGACATCAATCTACGTCAATTATTCGATTTATATATATATGTATATATATCACAATCGCTTGTAAAAGTATCGATATAAAAGTTTTCGACGTCATTTATCAATATTTTCACTTGTAATAGTATTAATATCTCGATATCTTGATTCATCGTATCAACAACACTTCTGTAACAAACAAATTCGATATCAGGAACATTGAGAAATTGCATAAATTTCGTCGAAGAAATCTTCCGCGTAAAATGTCCGTATCACAAATATGCAAAGGAGAGAAATTGGCTGTGTTACGAGAAATGATAGTTTACTTAAATTCCAAGGCTGCACGAGCCTCCAGTTCTCGCGGTCAACGCGAAAACCCGCGTACGTGGATGGAATCGTGATAATATGTAAAACGATCACCACGAGGGTTTGCGCGTTTTCGTCTCTCGAAATAGACGGTCGAAAAGTCGCTCACTGGGCCCTCTCGCCTTCCCCGTATTTTCCTCAAGAATTCGTCGCGAACTCGAAACAGTTTTTAGGCTTAACGACATCGTCGTTCTCCATCGTCATCCATCCACAATCTCGGCCGTTATATTAAATTCTTTATTGCTCCCTGCTCAACTTGTCGTATTATCATCGTGTGAAAAGAAGAATAAAGTGAAATTCGGTGAAAACAAAGTATATTAGTTTAGTTAATTATGGAATGTTTCCATCAATAAAATATTTAATATCTATCATCTCCCCTTCCATCTCTGATTCTTATTTTTTTAGATTGATACTTCCTCTTGTCGTCGATAGTTTTTATCGATAAGCGGAAAGAAGAGGACCTGATGCGATTATCATGGAGGATGACGGAAAGAGAGCGTGTAACGCTTAAATTTACAGGGAAACTTTTCGATAAATCGACGAATCGGACGAATGTTCCGACTGTCTTTTCAAGTTTCGACAACACGTCGAAACTCTTCTCCGATAGTATCGTACCGTTAAAAGTTTCGTGTATTTCAGGCCGTTTAAATGGTTGGAATAACACGAGTTGTGGACAGAGGTATGTCTTTTAGCATCGGTTCCCGATTAAAAAACTGCGTCAATAATAAATTAAAAAAAACGTAATGGCCGATTGATCGGTTGCCAGCTTAAAACAAGCAACACGGTGATGACAAATGACGCTATTTCCGCTTAAGAAGTCTTCTTCTCTTAATGGCATTACACAATCCATCGAGAATATAATAATAAAAAAACAGTTTCGACTTTTGCAATCTTCTTTCCCTCCGGTATCGTTAATTTTTCTATTAGCTCTTTACTAGAGATAAGCTTTTACGCGTTTCGTCATATCGTTGCTGTTGTCAATCAGTAAACGCGATAATAGTAACGGTACAATTTTATATAACTTTCAATCCGTTTTCCAACGGAACAGCGATACAGGAAAAGTTTTACGGAAATTGATTATTCGAATGGAAATTCCGAAGGAACAACCGGGCCGACCTATCATCGCCACTCGCGATAATACCGATAAACGAGTCACAGTTTTGCAAATAAGCAAGACGTGTCGCGTGCGATGAGGTGGCAATGTATGTTTCTGACGGTCCACATTTTGCGTGTGGATCGTGGTTTCTATATACGTGCACGTCTATGCGCAAGTGTGATGAATAGGTACGCGTACGTGGACTACCGTATGCAAAGTTTATTTCGGTTCGTCCTGTAATATTAGACGTGATGCGAACATTCGAACGCAGGATCTACGAGGGAACGATTAAAAGTCTCGAGTAAATACTAGAAATGTTCGACTAGTAGTCTAATAAAAAAAGGAAAAAAAAAAAAAAAGAAAGAAATATTCGATACTGTGAAAATGAATCGTCGAAACATCACAAGTTTAAAAACGTCTTATTAAAATTATACGCGACGATATTTTTTTCTCTTCATGAAAAATATTTATGAAATTTTAATCAACGTTGATGCTGAATTAAAATTGATCGACGTCGCATCCATAAATGTTAAATCAAGTTGTCGCGCTATTGTAAGAAAGGTATTTGTCACGTTGTCTCGAGTCAATACTCGAAGAGAATCGATCGTCGACACCGAGATACCCACTCACTTACGGTCAAATTTATTTTTGGCCACGAATTCTCTCGTACGCGAAATCGAACCGCCGTGTTCTGGGCGGGAATCGTCTTATGTCGAATCTCGGGTCTACGATACCCGCGGCGTACAATTCTTCTTTCTATCTGTCCGCTTCTAAAATTGTAACCTGGCGAACAACCTCGGTGGTCGACCGGTTGAACTCTTTCGAAGATATAAATTGCTCGAAATCGTTATCCTCCAAACACTTATTCGAACGAATAGATTTCTCGGAACGAAATTAGCACGAATAATAAAAAATTTAACGATTCAATTACCTTGCTAATTCCTCGCTCGAAATTCAGACTCGAAATTGTTGAACGTTTATCGAGTGGGAAGAATAGCGACTATTAATTAATAAACGGACAAAAGATTTTTTAAACACGAGGTAAAAAAAAAAGAAGTTCCACCGTGCTCCTTTGAATCTTTCGATATCTTCCTTCTCCAAACCGCGGACGCGCTTCCTCCATTCAGATATAATAGAATATCTCCGTTTCGTGACGCGGCTTTCCCATTCAACTGCCGCTTTCAAAGGGTTAAAAATAAAGTTGGCATCGAGGTAATACTTTGTCCACTTTTCTAAAATCCACGCTCGAACCACATCACTCCGCACTGAGCAAAAATTTACAAGTTTTTTTTCTCCTCTCGTAAATATCCGAAAGTTTCTTCCGTATTCTCATAAAAACGTGTTCCGAACTTATCGAGTCTTCTTTGATTTTTTTCCCTCCGATTCCATAATCCACTTTCTTCGTAAAGGTTTAAAATTCCAGTGTACACCAGTGACACAACGAAGGGTTAAAATCGCGAACAAAAGAAATAATCCCAAAAGAGATATAGGACGAGCGTGAATCGTCGATACGCGTTGTACGATCGCGCGACACCGACTGAGCGGCAGCGCGACAGAAAAGAGCGACAACTCTGTCCGATACTTCGAGCTATACGTGCGCTCTATTCATCTCGAAGTCGCGTCGAATAATACCGTCCAATACGATTGTTCGAAGAATAAGAAGAGCGGATTAATAAACGCCGTGGTTCGAAACGACGGTTATTAATCGACGAAATGATTTTTTAATCGTACAATAGCGACTTATTTTGGGCTGGAAAATATCCAAACGCGATTATGATTGGCATGAGATATTGGCCTTCGGTGTAACAATCGCGATACGCTTTCCACCAGTTATTTTAGTCCGATATACATATCGTTTCGATTCGAGAAAGAGAATACATGATACAAATTTATGCACCTTTAAATTTACGCTATTTTACGTTATGTTTTTGCATCTCCTTGCATAGGCGTAAATTTTCCAAAATTCAAACACAAAATTAGGAAATCCGGAAGGGATGTCGATGCAGCCTTCGAGCCTCAGTTAATTGACGAAACGCACGTGGCCGATCGAACGAGCGTGTCCAACCAAACCGATTTCTCGCGTTCTATCCAACGTTTCATTGTCCAAGTAGGCGTGTACCGGGTTAACGCGTGCCGGGGCTGACGCAATTTACGCTACTTACGTAAATCAACGTGAGAATACGCGTCACTCGGAGCCATTCGTAATTCACCAAGTCCAGTAATCGTGTAATTTACACGTAGTTCGATGTTAATGGTAATTAGAGAGCGTTGCAATTTCTAAATTGGACGAGGAAAAGAACGCAAGATACACAGAGAACATTCTCTTGGCGTGGAAAAGGAACAGCCAGTGAGCGAAATCTGTGCATACAAGGATAATTCAATTTTCCATTGTTTATGACATCCATTAATTTTTGTTCGAACATGGGGTCAACGTGTATTCTAGTCATCCGTGTCACTGGGTCAAGCTATACCTTCCTCCTCTCGATGAGGGTGATGAGATTTAATTCGCTACTCGACGTGACTCTCTTTCCAACTTCAACTGCCTCTCTACCCTCTCCCCTGTAATTTCAATGAATCCTCCTTCTCTCCCCGACGTCTCTCACTCCCACGTAACTATTAAACGAAACGACTGAAATGAATGACAACGAGGGAAAACGCGATGTCTGCGTTCCATCAATTTATCGGTCCAAAATTTTTTCCACTGCATTTCCTGCTCTAGAAATTTTCATTCCTTTCTTTATTAAGTCTTTACGCCACGTCTTTAATTTCTCGCTGCCTCTAGAACTCTCATTCCCAAAGAACGAGGTAACAAGGAACAAGCTCGATTAAGTCATCGTTTTTCTCGACAATAAAATCAATATGAAAAATACTTTTTGAAGCGTCAATTGCAATTTAGAGGCCGTTAACGACAAGCGTCGCAGAAACTCGTGCGTAAATACGTTGAATCTATCGTTGCAATCGTCTACGATTTGTTGAATCGCCAACAACCGAGCAGTCTCGGTGTTACATGCATCCGGAGGAAGAATTAAAAGCGAAGGGTGGGAAGCGCGTGGCAAAAGTCGGCGAGGTCGAAAATCGAGTAAATCTTGGACCGACTTTGGTCCACGATGCGCGTGACGCACTCGTGATGGCCATTTTGCCATTCCCTGGAGGGTTCCTCGGCCACTCTTCGCGAGTCGATTTAATTATTCCACGAAGGTAGGCGCTTTGAGTTTTCCGGCAGCGGTTGCACGCTGCGAACGGAAGAACAACCCGAGCTAAATATATTTCTGGACGCCAGAAGCGGCTCGACATTTTTTTCTTCTTCTTTTTTCCCTCTTCTTCACTTGTTTTCCCTCCATCGTTCATCTCCCTCTTCTTGTCTCCCTCACTCGCCTCTTTCCTCCTTCCTCTTCTCTTTCTTCCTCCTTCTTCTTCATTATTTTACCGACCTTTCTACATTTTTTAATGGTATCTACCACGTATTCCTTCTTATTCCTTCTCGTGCTCTGCCATTCCTTCCTTTTCTCGTCGTTTTCTCAACTTTCTCGTGTATCTCCACCATCGTGTGGATTCCACGATACTCCTAACTTCATTGCCTTTCTCTTCTCCATTCGAATATAGAGGATGAAACATACGCGCGGCGTCTCGTCTATTCCCATTCCGTCTCGGAAGTTGTTCCTCATGACCAGCTGTTCTTGTTGCCGGACAGAGTTGGAGCCGGCTAATCCGCTATTAATCGAAGCAAATGCCTGACCTCGCGATCTACTTGCCCGCTCGTTATTATTACTCCCCGGGGGATTTCAAGACCGCGCCGTTTCTCCGGGAACTCGTTTACGGATCCTTCTTCGTGTCCAACAATTTCTTTTCTCCCCTCGTTCCATCCGGCCACACGAGACCGCGTCAATTCCGCTTCCTCGTTCCGCATTGCGATGTTCAGTTACGCGTTCAGTCCTCTTCTATTTATTCTCACCGCGTTCGGATCCTCTTATCGACACTACATTTTATTTCCTTCCATTTTTTTTTTTTTTTTTAATTTTTCCACGGAGAGATTGATACTCGAGGAGCATCGACCTTCGAAGCAAAACGAAAGTTATTAAAAAAAGTTCCTTTTCATTCCTATCGATTTTTTTTTTTTTTTTTTTTTGAAAACACTTCACTTTCATTGGGATGTCGATAATTGTTCGATGAAAACGTTAAGAAGAAATTAATAGCGAATCGTGGCTTTCACTTCCTTTCGCTTCTAGAAATTGATTTGACAGTTCTTGGCTGTTAATCGCGTAATAAAATCGATGAAGGTACTAGCTGTTTGCGAGTGAGGAGGAAAGTTAGAATTTCAATCAGATGGCTATAATAAATTCTATTTCCTTAGTACGTCTCTTATCATAATTTATTATAAGAACATCCGACTGGACGGATATCCTCTTTCGCTTACTGTTAAACAATTCGCACGTGGTACGCGGTAAGCTTCTCGATTTCAGCGGCTTAATCAGTAGTACACGGCACGTGATGTCTTATTTTAGCCGTGTCTCGTACGTTTTTCTTTCTTTCTTTCTTTCTTTTTTTTTCTTTTTTCATTTACGATTCAATAATATCGAGGAATACGTGCGAGATTTATCCGGAATTGTGTGACGCAACGAGATTATATATTATGTAATTCGCGAATCCGTGACCCAAGAACATTGCAACCGAGAATATTTTTATCAACAAAGGGGTCATCGACAGAAACGAGATAATTGTACACGTGAACTTTGCTATTACTCAATTGCCCACGAAGAAAAATTTCTCGCCTCTTTTTCTTATATAGAATTATTGACAATGATGTGTGCAAAAATGCAAAAGAATAAAATTGTAAAAAATCAACAATTTTCAGATTAATGTAATTGTAATTGTCCAAACTTAAACTTTTCCGTTCACATTTCTATTTTTACGTTTTCTTATATCTTATATAAGATATTATATATATTTTTAAACTATAAATTTCTACAAATTATCTAATTGCAGATTCGTGGCATAATAAAGGGTACGATATGATAATAGTGACAACACATGTGAGGAACCGTATAATTCGTTGTTTTTCATCGACTCGGTTCACGACCAGTTCACCTATATATTAGATCGTCTAATCATCCGTTAATTGCCGGTCGAACGAGGAAAAGAACGACGATTACTGGGGACCTACTTCGATTACGTTTTACTTGCTGCTCGATCGACGCAAGTGAAAGCAATAAGAATCGAAGGTCTCGATTTGCAACTTGGAGAGGCGTAGCTAGTTTCTGAACCAGATCGTGCGTTTTCCTTGCATAGATTTTCGCTTATTTTCGAAATTTTAATTCGAAAAGGAAAAAAAATTGATTTTTCTATAAAATGTTTCGAATATCTCTTTACTGCTCTCCGTATCTTCAAGAAGAACAACTTATCTAATATCTCTCGCAAATAAATATTAAGTACGACGAATAAATACACTTCTACTTATCTAATTTCTAGAAAAAAGAATAAATTTCTGGAAAATTATCAGATAAATGAATTCTTTATGTAGTTGAATCAATCTTGCGATAAATAAGTTAAAGGAAAATGCATTTGAATCCTCAAACTGTGTAAAATATGAATAAAATATTGAAAATATTTAAAATATCCGAATAAAATATTCGAAAGAAATTTCACATTCAGACGTTTCACGTGGGCCGGGATATTCGAAAAATGCCGAATTTATAATTTTTCTTACATCACGAGACACCACCTCTTCCGCCTCTTCACCTAATTGGGAGGCAACGAGGTCGCGCGAGATCATTAATTAATCCCACGTGGGTGTGATGCGTGATCTTTCGAACTTAAAATCTTGTTCTTTTTTACATCGTTTATCATCCACCTTAATGGTGTTCTAACGATACGAAGCATTAAAAAAAAAAAAAAAAAAAGAAAAAGAAATCAAGAAGCTTAGATACGTGGGACGCGTCACTTAAGCTCGTGTATCTTACGCGGCTTTTTTCCCCGATAAATCTCCGAGCTGAGAAATTTCATTACCGAAGACGTGATACTTTTTTATAAATATAAACTATAAATATAAATACAAAATTTCTTTTGCAAATATAATCGTTAGAAATTACACTCGAAATGCTTATGGAAATTTCGTCCCAAAATCTAATAAATACGAAGAATGATTTAATTGAAAAAGATTAATCGCGTCAAACAAATAAAGTTTAGACGCGTTTCACCGGTAAATTAATTAGGATTTTCAAGAAAAAACGAAATTTTCTTAAAAGAAAGAGCAAGATCAAGTCCACGAGGAAAAGCAAAGAGACGCGTTTAATCTCGCGCGTGTTCACGGTCACAAGGTTCTAAGCCGCGGATGAAAAGGGCTTTTTAACCCCCTATTCAACCGATGCAACGGTGGTACGCAAGCAAAAAAAAAAAAAAGAAAAGAAAAAAGAAAGCTGGCAGCAAATTGAAGGGAGCACCGGCGCAAATAGATACGTGTTCATCATCGCCGTCTAGCCTATGGAGCGATGCCATAGGATGTTTTATTAGCATTTCCAAGAATCTCTATTTGCAACTTCGGCCCGGACGCCTCGAGACACGAGGGACCGGGTTGCATTCACCGGAAAACCAGATTTCTCGCATCTTTTCTTGAGAGAATCGTACGATGAAAAGAGAACGAATAAG